CGCTGTTTTTTTGTGTTGAATATATGCTATATGGTAATTTATGGACCTAATAGGTATCTAAAGCCATTTGCACATAACAAAATATGTATTTTATCAAAGTACATCCAGGGTTTTTTTCCTTTTAATTTTTTGGGAGCCCCCAAGAGAGTGGGCCCCTAAGCTACAACTTGTTTAGCTTATACAGTACATAAATCCGGCGCTGCTGTAGCACACGTATCTGTGTTTCTATACTGTACATAGAAATCCAATGTATGAATCAACATTTCATTGGCACACCGCTACCACAATGAAACTAACGGGCTCTTCCGCCATGTCAAGGAAACGGGGGTTTGCAGCAGCCCCCCTCGGGTGTGATTTGTACACGGAAGGAGGGCCTTTGAAAAGCCCGGGGCTCGTTCGTAAACAATGCATTTTGTCAGCAGCCCGGAAAGCAAAGGCTCCTTCCTTCCTTCGCTTGTCCTGTGGGCTTGGGGTGGGGGAGAAACAGGAGCGGCTCCGCGCGCGCGCTGTGCTTTCCGGGCGTCGCTGCGGCTCTCGCGCTCAGGACTCACCGGCAGCCGGAATTCCAGGTTCTCTTGCGCCAGCAGCAGCAGGTAGCGCGGAAGACCCGCGCTGGGCAGCGCCATCGCACCGCCGCCTCCGCCTCCCGAAGCCCGCATGCGCGCGGAGGAAGAAGAGCAGCATCACGGCGGGAAGGCGGCGCTTGAGAGCGAGGGGAGGAGCAGGGAAGCCGGGGAAGGAATGGCGGGCGGGAGGAGGGAGCCCGGGACTGGGGGTTAGCAGCGCTTAGACCCCCAGGAAGTGTCTCCTTCCTTTCTTCTCCTTAAGGAGATCCCGTCAATTATATATACGTGCTAGAAAAGCGACTGCAGCCTGCGCCACGGGATTAAGGTGAGGATGTTTGCAATAAAAATTCCTTTCTATAACACTCCTTTTTTCCACCGCTGAGTGGAAGAGAATGTGTAGCATCCCGCTACTCGATATGCATCCTTGTCATCAGCTGCACGCAGCGCTTTGAAATGCGATTCCAAGCAACGTGCATTTAGTTCGCATGTAGGAATCGGCGCCATAGAAATCAGTGCGACTTCTTATGAGAAATATGCTGCTGAGATACGTAGATGGTTTCGAGGCACAAATAGGCAAGCGGCTGCAAAGCCTGAAAACTTAATACAGCGGCTGTCAGTGGCGCACACTCAATACGTGTGGATAAAGGCAAAAGCTAAGAAGCCAGCTTCCAAAATGAGCGCCTGCTGTTTTACACAGGCTTATCATAAACTAGTTACCTGGTGAACATGCATTTAGCTACATGCTAATTTTCTAGAAATCTGAGGACTTGCACTTATCAGAAAATGTTTGCTGCTGTTCATGTACAATGAATTTGCACTACAGGAGTGCTGGAACCTTTTTACTAGGGTTATCCAAACACAAATAGTTAAGCTGATGTTGGTCTGTTTCCATTTTCTACCTATTAAAGTAGGGGTATTGAAGACTGAACTCACAAGCCTTTATGGAAATTGTTTTTATATACCTTTACCTTTTTATCTTATATCAAGTGGAATATTTTCTGTAGTTAAAAACCTACAGAAACCTCAAATAGAATCTTGCATGTTCTTTCCACCTTAAAAAATGCACAGCTGTAGAAGGAACCATACCCCTTTGTGGCAATTAATAAGGTGACTGTACTCTGGTTAACTGACTTCTATCAATGAAGGTGCTACAAAGAGGTCAACAAGGCCATGCATCGTAATTATTGGCATGCTACAGAGGTGACAATTCAATTTTCACTCACAGAAAAGAGAAACTCTACAAGATAAGCATATATTTAAATATAACGTTAGCTTTTCCAAGGGCACATTGATCCAGACCAAGCAATCAATACCTTTGGTGTTACCTTGAGCAAATGCACATAATTGTTTCACTTGAATATATCTAGCATGTAGGAAAGTTGGTGCAATCCTGTGCACATTGGTAACACCATTGACTATAAAGGGACCTGCTTCCAAATGACATGTATTGAGTCTGTAACCTATGTGTATATAAACTTGGGAGTAAGTGAGGAGAAAAGCAGAAGTGGGATGGTTAGACCAAACTGGGTTATGCCCACCTGAAATGTGAGATGGTTATAGGTCTGTCTGAAAAGTGGAATGGCACCCACCACATCCTACTCCACTGGACCCATGCTCTATTTATCTTGGTGAGATTTCAATATAAACATGCACAGAATTATGTCTAAGTAACCAAACTTGTCTAAAGGATAGTACAGGGTTGGCCTACTGTTTTATCTTTCAGGTCATGCAACTATACAGTGAAAACAGGTGCAACAGGCTGGGTATGATCTGAATTGCTATTACGAATAGAAGGCAAGTAGAGCACTATTAAGGGATGTGGGTGGCGCTGTGGGTTAAACCACTGAGCCTAGGACTTGCCAATCAGAAGGTTGGCAGTTCGAACCCCCGCAATGGGGTGAGCTCCCATTGCTCGGTCCCTTGCTCCTGCCCACCTAGCAGTTTGAAAGCACATCAAAGTGCAAGTAGATAAATAGGTACCGCTCCGGTGGGAAGGTAAACGGCGTTTCTGTGCGTTGCTCTGGTTTCACCAGAAGCGGCTTAGTCATGCTGGCCACATGACCTGGAAGCTGTACGCTGGCTCTCTCGGCCAATAAATTGAGATGAGCGCCACAACCCCAGAGTCGGCCACGACTGGACCTAATGGTCAGGGGTCCCTTTACCTTTACCACAAGCAGATGTCTTGTGGTAACTTAGATTTAATGTGTAAAAACTTAGATGCTCTAAGGCTTGTTTTTTGTTGTATCAGACTAACATGCCTACTCCTTTGAATAGATATGTGCTGTTTTACTACCAATATTAATTGATGCCTTTATATACCACAAAAATATTGATACAGTACAGTGGTACCTTGGTTTACGAACTTAATCCGTTACGGAAGTCCATTCTTAAACCAAAGCGTTCTTAAACCAAGGCGTGCTTTCCCATAGCAGCAGGGGACTCAATTTACAAATGGAGTCAACAGGAAGTGGAACATGTTCTGCTCCTAAGGCAAAGTTCACAAACCAAAACACCTACTGAAGGAGCGTCTCCACCCCCATCGTTCAGCCCGGACACTGAGATCCAGCGCCGAGGGCCTTCTGGCGGTTCCCTCATTGCGAGAAGTAAGGTTACAGGGAACGAGGCAGAGGGCCTTCTCGGTAGTGGCTCCTGCCCTGTGGAACGCCCTCCCAGCAGATGTCAAAGCAATAAACAACTATTTTACTTTTAAAAGTCATCTGAAGGCAGCCCTCTTTAGGGAAGTTTTTAATGTTTGATGCTGTACTGTTTTTAATATTCAGTTGGAAGCCGCCCAGAGTGGCTGAGGAAACCCAGCCAGATGGGCGGGGTATAAATAATAAATTATTATTATTATTATTATTATTATTATTATTATTATTATTATTATTATTATTATTATTACTTTCCAGGTTTGCAGCATTCTTAATCCAAGTTGTTCATAAACTAAGCTGTTCTTAAACCAAGGTACTACTGTATACGAATTGGCTAAAATAAATGTGTGTGTTTTTTGGTCTCCACAGCTGCAATTTCAGAGCTCTGCTTTTTGTTATGTCACAGCCTCAATACATGGAAGCAAAATGCAGAGTACCAAAGCTGTAAGAACTGATCTTAGCTCTGTGGGAGAACTGGCAAGAGGCTGGCAGAGCTGGTCAGAGGTTCATGTTGATTATCAGAGACGGAACCCCTTCAGCAGCAACAAGCCAGTAACTCGGCGTACTGAGAGAGGAGATCCCACCTATGGGAGGCCCCCCGAAGGCTCCAAAACAGAACAAAGAGAAAAGGATGCTCACACACACATAGGCAAGGAAGTGGAAGAATTATGCTTGGTCATAAGTAGTGTTGGAGAGAGAGGGCAAGATGGACAAGTAAGAATAACATTTAAACAGCTCTTTGACAGATATGTAACTATATCCAACAAAGTAGTAGGTGTCCTACTGAGGGCAAGGAAGCACGGCCTCGTTGATTTTGAAGGCGAAATGCTTTGGCAAGGAAAAGATGATGATGTAGTTATCACCTTACTTGAATGAGATGGTTGGATAAGCACGATTGCATGATTACATTTGGCAACTCCTTTAAAAGCCTTAATCAACAATGTCGGCTGGCCAGGATGTGATGAAGAAAATGCTATCTGGTGGAAACAGGTTAAAAACAAAAATGAAGTAGAAGTTATGCATATTTTACTTGTGTCCATTCACTTTTACATGTGTGAAAATTAAAAAAGAAAATGGAAAGGAGGTGGGGTTATGGGAGAAATGTCTTCAGCAATTCCACCCACCATTGAATACAATGTTTTGAATATACACGATTTTGGCTTTAGGTGCGATCCCTGCGCAAGTTGCGGGCTTACGGTACCTGTCATGTTTTCCCCTCCATGGTCATTGCCTATACAAGGGCAATGTGATAAGGGCTTATTATAAGACAACAGAGTGATAACTCTTCTGAGTGTACATGAACTGGAAATCTGTTTGGCTGCAAAGTGGATGTATTTCACACGAGTTATGGCACTGGAAATGTAGATGCTAAAAAATGGAAGTGATGTGAACACATTAAAAATATTTAGCATTTTCTTGAGGTAAGTGTTGTTGTACCACCACTGATATTCTAAAAGTATTTCTTACTTTCCAGTTAGCAACATTTTCCACTCCAAAATGGATGTTTTTAACATTACAAACTTTGGAAAAGTAGATGAGTAACTATTTTAAGAGTAGCTAGTTTCAAATTCATGCAGAAAAGCTACTTCTTAAAAGTTTGATTTTAGAAATGGTCTATAAACATTCAAATGAGTTTGGCAAAATGTTTTAAGATTATAACTAACGTTACGTTGTTTGACTAGATGGCAGGCTTATCATACATAGAGTTCCTGAGATGTTGAAATATAAAGGTACCAGTTCACAAACAATATTCTCAAATTGAGATACAATAACATTCAAGAGGTTCATCTCTACACACTGATTTTTATTAGCTTCTTTTTCAAACAGTATTAAGGTTGCTGTTATGTTTCCAATGGTACATAAACTCACAATCACAACTGCTTTTCATACATAACACATTTCAACATGGTATAAATACAACTACTACTCCACTAAAGGAAGACATTTGTTGATTATTTTAACCAACAGTAGTTAGAATCCAGACTCAAGTATCAAAATGAATACATGCCAACAAATACGAGGATTAAAATGCTAAAGCCATAAAGGAACATAAAGGGTTATTGTATTTTGGCATACTTTGAACACTACGATGTAAAACTGTGCTAAATAATTGGATGTTGCTTTAGTAATGCAGTAGGTACCAGAATGCACAATTTCAGCAAGTGCTTGTTCAAGTTAATTTTTCAGTAAGAAATCCAATTAGATTTGAAATGTGCTTTAGAAGCCATTTCATGCCAAGTCTTAAAAGCATCTGCAATCTTGACATTAAGGCTGTGGAGGTAGACTAAGAACAAGATAATTTTTGTTGGAAGAGACGACTTAGCTAATGTTGTGGCCATGTAAGGTGGACAAGCAGTATGCTATATAAGCAACTCCGATGCCTCTACTGATGAGCACTTGGATGAAGGCTTTAGGTAGTCAAAATGGGACATCTGTGAATAATGTATATCCCTCTAAAGTTTGATAAACAGATTTCGATAATCTACCCTTAAGAATGGGTTTAGTGCTTTATGTTTGATTTTAAAGAAAAGAGAACCAGGCGACATTCATGAATTCACATACTAAGAAACTCTTTGTTGTAAGATGTTCTGGGTACTGAACTATTGTATAAATACTAATAAATAACCATTTCAAGGTCTGTCTGCATAGTGGTAGTTTCCCACAGTAGGCAATGCCTCCCAACATGCTTAATATTTCCCAAATATCCAAAGTTATAGTTATGGTTCCAAATTTAGTTTCAGCACGAGCCTCTTATACTTCGTATATCGGATACCTTTCACTAGTAACAAAGTAAAAAGAAACCATTGCACTGTGTAAACTTGCACTGCAATTCACCTTCTAGCTATTCTTAATTACATGCATTTAACTGGTTACAATTGTTTACAGTGGTACACATTCAAACAATCTTATCCTAGACCAACATACTAATGGTGTGATGTCTCAAGTTATAAGTACAGATGGAAGACATACTCTGGTCACAATGGCTTGTTAAGAGCTCTTGCTGTGCATACAGTCATGTACATGTGTGCGATGAGTGATTTAGCACCAAGACATCATAGCTATCACTAGCATTGCAATGCCAAAAATGTCACTAATGTGTTGTATAGGCACAAACCTCTTGCATTGTTTAGACAAAGAACAGTCAAACCCAGAGGCATATATTAAACTTTAATTATATCTTTTTTTACAAGATCAGTATTTTCTTTCAGAGAAGGATAGGTATTTTTACTTTCCGATTGGTAGATATGGATGTTCTCGAAAGTGCTCAGTTTTTCCAGGTATTTGCCTGAGACATGTTATTGTACAATGTTCTTTAATGATGAGTTCAACCATTGTATAGCAGCAGATTCAAGTGCCATTTTCACACACCTGGCATATTAACAATTACATCCAACCCTATAATTAGTGGTCACAGTTCACAGAGATGTGTGATCTGGAAAAAGTGCTTTTCAGATAGTAGCACTTTCAGCCTTCAGCCGTTCCAAGAGTTGCTCAGCCTGTTAAAGAGATGTTTATGTTGCATGTTAATACTTCCCAGAGATTACTTGCTGCCCCCTTGAAACTGGGGAGATAAGTAACAGAAACCACTGAGCAATAGTACCATTCCCTCACTGCCAGCCTAGGTGCAAAACCATCTGTGGGGACAACTTTCAGGAAGGCCATTGGGGGGGGGGGCGCGAAGCATCATCTACAAAGGGTCCATGCAAGACCATTTTCCTGGGGTGTCTTCTATTACAATGAAGAAAATGTGAAAGATGGTTTCTAACGCTTTAAATGAAGTTAGTTAAAATCTAGACATCATTAACAGTTATTAAGAAGTTGACAGGACTATTTCAAACTGACTTAATTCAATATCAGACAGTAAACAGTAAGGCTGAGAGTTGCAAAAAGAGGAGAAACAGTGCAAGTTTTTCAAAAGGAGTAGTCAGGGGTCAGGCACAGTGCCTTGGAAATGGAATAATGGCAGCACCTCAATGCCTTTTGACTGCAAAATGGTACCATCTTAATTCACTGGCACAAGAAGTAGAAAAGGGAGCCTCAAAGTTTTGCACTGGTGGTGTCCAGTTCTTTCTTTGCAGCGGAAGGGAAATGGGGATCACCAAACTAACTGAAATACTTACTGTTATAAACCAGTAGGAATTGATTCTGTAAACCATTCGGGACAAGAATCCCAACTGACTAGCTGGAGCCAGGACATGAAGATGTAAATGGGCTATTGAGCAGAATGGAGGCCAGTGAAAACCCATCCTTGAGAAATGGAGGAGAAAAAGAATCAGTTACCAGCTACTTAGTGTTCTTTTGAGCGAAGCATGTGAAAGCTCTTAAGGACTTAAAACAGTAAGCAGGTCTGTGCATCGCACTGAAGGAGCGTCTCCACCCCCATCATTCTACCCGGACACTGAGGTCCAGCACCGAGGGCCTTCTGGCGGTTCCCTCACTGCGAGAAGCCAAGTTACAGGGAACCAGGCAGAGGGCCTTCTCGGTAGTGGCGCCTTCCCTGTGGAACACCCTCCCACCAGATGTCAAAGAGAACAACAACTACCAGGCTTTTAGAAGACATCTGAAGGCAGCCCTGTTTCGGGAAGCTTTTAATGTTTGATGTATTATAGTATTTTAATATTCTTTTGGAAGCTGCCCAGAGTGGCTGGGGAAGCCCAGCCAGATGGGCGGGGTATAAATAATAAATTATTATTATTATTATTACTAATGCAAAATTTTAAGACCTCCAGCTATTATTTCATACAACATAACCAAATTACATGCACTTTCCTTATGTATTATGCAGCTCTATTATAATGAACATTACCATATACTTCCCTTTCTAGAAACATACCTTATATCATTCAAGTCATTAAATTTATTCCGCTGAAGGACAGTCTTTCCGACTGCCATCATTCTTTCCACTGTCAAATCGGGGAGAAAAGAATAAAATCAGATTTAAAGCTCATTAGATTTCAGATGCATTATAGACTTACCAGCTTAGTCCTAAACTGAAACTAATGCAGACTCTGTTGATTTCAATAGAATTTATTCCAAAGTAAGCCTAGCTAACGTAATAATGGGCCTCTCTTTTTAACTATAAAGAAGCATACATATTATTATGTACAAATTTTAACATTTATTCTTAGTGATAATGTAACCTACAAAAACATAGGCCAAAGCAGGCTGAACCACAAGGGGTCTGTAAAGGGCAGATAACCATATGGTGAAAATACCCACAACAGGTTATGCAAGTTGAAGCAGCTCATCTTTCCCTTCTCAAACTTCACCTTTGCTTGCTTTTCTACCCAGGTCTAACCTGACTGACAATGAAGACTGCTCCCCACAAATTTGCCCAATGCAGGTTTAAGGACTGGGCAATTTTCTGTGTTTTGTATACCACTTGGTCCACTACTGGTGCTATGCAACACACAGCAAGTCTGATGGACAGCCAGTCTTCAGGCATCCTTTCTGACTAATTCCAATATACTATGCCTAGGATTTGCTTATACCAAGAAAACTGTTTTGAAGAACATATTCATAGGGGAAAACAGGAGTCTTCGGTTCCATATAGCGGTATGCTGCTGGCATGTAAGGAAGAGTAATGGCTCCCAGATTAAGTTCAATCCAAGCGGAGCTGTAAACATGCTGGATCCCCAGTGCCAAACCATGCAAGTTGAGTAAGCATTCAGACAGAACTTAGCATCCCCAAAAGATCTCAGCTTCCATTAAAAACTACACATGGTCATTTTATACGCGGCAAGGCTTAAATGTGGGTGGTCCGTGTCCTGTGAAATCCCCACAGCAATGGGTGTGGGTGGATGGTACAGGGTATCATTCAGGAGTCATCAGGGAGTGGGACATCAAATATATAGAGTTGAAATGGCATGTGGGTGGGTCAAAGCTACCCAGAGAATCTATGACAGAAACTCTGGTTAAGACCCATATCTGACAGGATCCACTCCAATGCTTTGTCGGTGGCCACCCTAGAAGTAGTTTCATGGAAGAGACACTTTCAAAATGGGATGGAAGATGGGAGACATGTCTCCTTGTCAATCCCCCAAAGTGAATGCTAGCAAGTTGCCACAGCTACCGCCTTCTACCTCTTGGTAAGCAACAGGGTGGGGCGGGTGTATGTGTGTGCTGGGAAACCCAGCCAGATGGGCGGGGTATAAATAATAAATTATTATTGTTATTACTTGCAGTACAGATGGGATCCAAGGGCTCCAGTAGCTGAGATCCATTCTAACTGCTAATTATATAGACCCTTGTTTTGCAGCTAATTGCATTCAACAATAATGCACTGTTGTTGTTATGTTTTATTCATTTACTTTCAGTTCCAGTATTCTGAGTGCTCGGTCCAGACTTACCTAATGGTATATGCTCACTCTTTAGAGTCTTGCAATTTCCTATATGGTTTTTTGGCACCACTAAATAATGATGTGGAGCTCCAGGCCTGATATCTCTGAAGCACACCAAGTCTTCATGCTAAAAAATAAAAAGAAGAAAAGCTTTATAATAGCAGGTCATGTAAGAAACAGTTTTGCAGGTACCCATCTGAGATAGCCATGCATGTCAGTAAGTAAAGCTAGCAAGCTAGTACCAACCGACAATATTAATTGTGCAAGTGGCTTCAGCCTTTCAGATGATCAGTCTGAACTATGAGATAACAGTAGAAGAATTCAGACGTATCATCCCCTTAAGCATACAAAGAACGTTTGTCCCAGTCCCCATTTTCCGACACCTATGTAATATCTGTTCTCATACAGACTGATGGATATAACTTAAGTAACACTGGAGCCCTTATTTGTTAGACCACTTTGTAGGCCAATATTTGTAAACCATGCAGCAACACCTAACAACATTTCAAAAGCTATATTTTTAGTCCCATCAGAGCCATGTTCCAGCAGTATCAGCCAATCCCACTCGTTTATTTTTCTTTCCATAAATGCCACTATCCATTAACCCTGGTTAGGTAGGCAGGGAGAAAAGTTGGGGGGAGGGGAAGCTGACTAGCATATAGCTGCAACAAGAGATGTATGTATGAGGGAAACACAATTAGGATGATGTGTGAAAAGCAAAGGGTGAAAGGATGAGGTAATGGGAAGAGAAGCAGAAGTGTGTTAGCACTTAAAGGACTGAGATAAATGAATCATGTTTTCACCCCCAAATTTCTAGCACATTGGGGGTTAGAACGCTCTTTTTGCTTAAGAAGCACATATATTCTATTGATGTCATTATATAAACAATAATCTATGTTATTTTAAGGTTACTGATCCTGATATTTATGGTGAGAAGTGGTGTGCAAACATTAAGAATAAATCCACAACTGAATGTGGGCTGGGGCTGAAAACCAGAGGCCATGCTTCTTTTCACTATCACAATTTATTTGTGTATTTAATAAGCTTTCATAGAAAAAGCTTCCTGGGCAGTTTCCCAAGAGAAATCATGCAGTCATAAAACCTAGCACAATATAAAATGAGGAACAGAGCCTAAAACCCATAGAACAAACAGAACCAGAAATGGTGCAACCTTAAAAGCTTCAATTTCGTAACTTATTTTATTTTTAATCAAAGAGTAAGCACGCAAGACCTGGTGATGGATACCGGCTTTAAAGGTTTCTCACCTAAGTCTATCAATGACTATAAGCCGAAAAACCTCAATGGAACCTCCAGCTCCAGTGGCAGTTGCCAAGAAAGAGGAGGGCAAAGAGCGAGTGGGGGCTCCTCGCTTCCATGCCCTGCAAGGGAAAACAGGGGGTTGGTTGCCCACCGTGGGAAACAGGCTGAGCGAGGCTAGAATTTGAAGGGAAGGCGGAGGCGAGCAAGCGGCCTTGCAGCAGTTGCCGGACTACAACTCCCATCGTCCCTGGCTACTGGCCACGCTGGCAGGGGCTGATGGGAGTTGGAGTCCATTCGCCCATCCCTAGCACTGGATGCGCCTCCAGCCCGAGCTCTACTTCGCGGCTCGGCTGCAGCCTTTGGACGTGAGGATGTGAAGCACCCGCCCGGCTCCCTTCTGCTCGCTGCGCCTCACCTCGCAAGGCAGCAGCTCCGTGCCCGCCTCCTCTCCGTGCGTGATCCGGCAGAAAACGCACTTGCCGTCGTAGGCAACGCCGCCGCCGCCGCCTCCAGCGCCCTCTCCGCCAGCCGCGCCAGCCTCTCCGCCGCCGGGACTGGGCTCCGCCGCCGGAGACGAGCCCGAGCTGCCTCCTTCCTCGCCGGCCATCGGGATCCTTCTCTCGGGCGGCCTTTGGCCGGGGAAACGGGGCGGAGCGGTCCTCGGGAGACGGGCCCGCCCAGCGGCACAGGCGCTCCGGCGACTCCGCCCTTTGCCGACCCCGGGTGCGCGCAGGCGGAGCGCAGGCTGCGGCGCGGAGGGCGGTCCGCTCGTCTTCGCCCCGCCCCGGGCTCCGGGACGCCGCCGCGACGCAGAGATGATCACCGGGGAGGGCAAGGAGTTTGCGCCCCATCAATGAGCGCGCAAGAAACCAGGCGCAGGCAGCAGTGGAAGGAGTGGTGTCGCAATATCAGAGCAACAAGAGAGGGGGATGATTTGGGCATCAGCAGATTGGCTAGACGTGAAGCAACGGAAGATCAGAGAACGGAGTATTTCAGTAGTCGAGTCAGGGTGTGGTGGACCAGAGTTTTTGCCTAGTAGTGCACAGAGAGGAAGGGCCATAATCCTGCAGTACTTTAAAGGGGAAAGTAACATGTCTAGGGACTGGGCGCGAAACCCTGTGCCTGGCCAACAGAATGAGCAGGTAACATTGCCATGGATTGGGCAAATGAGCAAAAAGAGAACGAACAAAAGGCAAGCTCTCTTTGTTTACTGTTGCATTTCTATCCCGTTCTCTCTCTTCTTCACCAAAATTAAACCAAAATTGCTATGAGTGGAAAAGGTGATTAAGACCCCAGTTCGCCTGCGTACTTGGAAATAAATCCCATTAAACTCAGTAGAATTCGTTTCTGAATAAATGGGCCATAGGACTGCACTTCACAATGTGGAAGGGCTGCTTACCTTGCAAGATGTTGAATACGAATCCTATGTGTGGAGGGTACACAGGATTCCTTTGTTTCCAATGGCTTTTAATTCATTAAGCATCTTCACTAGTGAGTAGGGCAGACACACAGGGGACAAGGTGAAAATAATCATATATGCAGATGGGTTGGATGTGATATGGAGCACTGCCACTTGGACACACAGCATCCAAGCTACAATGTTTTTCCGAAGAGAGTTTCAAAGTGGTTCAGAGTTCAGAATGTGTAATCCCTTTGTCATTTGTACCAGCTACTCTCTTGCCTACTATTACACATTACCAAATTCCAGAACTAATGCCTCTTGTTCCAGATGTAGCAAATGCCCACTGTGTCACTAGCAGTTTGATAAAGGCAATTTCTGGGGAAATCCAACATTTAGAAGTTTGAGTGGAATTATCCCTCTGAAGTATTATAGATCAAATATGGCAAGCTAGCCTTTAGTGCTCCCAGCTCTGTCACCTTTGACTATTAAGTATGGGGTGGGGAGAGAAATTTCACGTCAAACATATGAATGCATAAATTCCTTTATTGAAAATGTTGCGATAGCACTGCATTACATATATTAAATATCCATAGTTTTCTGAAGGGTCACAGAATCTTGAGAGGACAACACTGTTTCGAATATAGAACACAAACTTTAGATATGCTCTGACAAGTACAATATAATGAAATGAACTGTGTATAACAGTAGTGAAATACGTCCATTATTTTTTAAAAACCCTTTTGCTTACAACCTGCAAGTGTCTCGTCCTTGTTAAAACCGTCTTTCAAGGTTCCCTGGAATGTCTCCAAAGTATTATGCTAATATGTAATGGTGAAAATTTGTCAGAGTAGAACTGATGGTAAGAAGAGTGAAAGGTGTAGGCTACAGGTGTTAACAAAATGCCCTAAAGCGGTTTTGTACATGAAGGCTATTACTTCTGTGTAGAGAATTATGTGCCTACCACATGTGATGTTTTCTATCTGCAGCAAGCCCAAATTGTTAGTGTGCAGTACTACGCACTCCAAAGCAGACATGTGTGTGTCTGCCCCATGTCACTTGTGTACGGAGTTTCCTACACAGAAGCAATATATATGTGAAGGAAATTACTCTTTGTAATCTGGATCTGGTTGACCAGGTCATATAGCACAAGATGGATGGTCCCAGTTATTTCCAAGTCATTTGGAAGCAATGCCATCATGAGCGGGGGAAGACCTGGTTAATATGTAAGGATGCAGCCTAGGTTGACACAGGTGGCCTTGTGAAGGCATCCTAAAGGGTGACAAGCATAGTGTATTGACCGATACTTTTTCAGGAGCATAGGAAGTACCGTTTGGTTTTTTTAAAAAATACCCCTTCTCTCATGTTGACTTTATTTGCTTTTTTAAAAGGCTTATCAAGGGCTCCCAAAAGTTAGGAGAATGTCAGCATTTCAAGAAGGAATAGCACTGTCTTTTCATATCTTCCTCTTCCTAACAAAATATTTTTTAGAAGTGGCAAATAAACCAAAAATGGTTTCCAGTTTCAATTAACTGGCAGCACTTAGTCTTTCTTACTGAATTTGGACCCAGTGCTCTCAAGTACTGCTTCATCACGCCATTAAAAAAAAAAAGCAGAAAGAAAAGTGACTGCTTAAAAAGCAGAATGCAACCACAAGGTTGAACTCTTATTCAAGAAAGAGAACATTTTACAAGAAAAAAGAAGAAGGGCAAAGCTAGTCTGGCATGACACAGTTTTCTCTAACAAAGAATTTCAAATAATTTATAGGGCACAGTTTAAGAATCTGTTTTTTGCCCCATAACAATGCCACTGTTTCAAAAGGTATTTCTTTATTGTTAAGCCTCTTAAAAAGAGGATCTGTCTCCAGCACGCAACCAGACAGCTGTGTTTGATAATGGAAACTGACAATGCACCGCTTTCCAACAATCCAAAGTAATGTGTTCTGCCCAAAAACAAGATTCCTAAAATAATAAGAACAAAGCAACAACGAAGTCTTTTACAAAAATTAAAAAAACCAGCAAAGTATAAAAAATACCTAAGAAATGAAATGATTCATCACCACCGCTTAAGACATTTACTTCAGTCAATAAATCTTCCTAGCAAATTTTGAAATTAAAATATTAAAAGAAAAAACATGCCTACTACATTTCATAAAAATGTACTATACAAACAATAAATACGTTCCTTTAAAAATGCTCCCTTTAAGTGCTGTATACTGATTTGAAAGACTAACCCCTTTCTCATGGAAACCATCACTATACGCAGTAGAATTTGCTAACCCAACTTTTACTTCTTTTTGGTTTTCATGTAAGCAGAATAAAAATACACATGGAATGTACTATACAGGTCTATGTTTTTCCACCAGTATTCTTTCACAGTTACAAAAAATAATGAGACTGCTTTAAACAAACTTGTATATCGCAAATGCCTTCCATAAACATCTTGCATCCATGCTGTAAGATCACCGGCAGGGCAGAAATACGACATAAACGAGGTCATTTTTTTAAATGCAATTAAGTCTTTCCACTTTTTGACCTAAAATCTTCTTGTGCAGCCAGGCTGTGACCAGATTTCATGGGCAGGAGAAGCATGTTCTATTGTGAGGCAGTCTACATTCCAATATTCAACATCCACTGAGTGCTCAGTAAACTTTTTAAGGCAGCATGTACATCACTCAAATGTCCATACTTCCACATCTTGTATGACAAAGTCTTCTTTTTTGGATAAGATATCATTATTGAATGTGCTGCAACAATTGCTCCGGCCATGATATAAATCAGCATCTAGCCATAAACCAAACCTGCCACTGCAAGGAGAAGAAAATTAGCTGAAAACTTTGTTTTATTCAGTTTTGATTTATTAAAAATGATGACACAAGTTGCCCAATTTAACTTTCTGTTTCTTTCAGCTAGAGGGTTAAACATTTGCTTAGCCTTCTTCCCATGAAGTCAACACGACTTAAAAACCTTTGGTTGAATCCTGTCTGCCGGTTTTTGCCCCAAAGCAGACAGGAGAGGATTGTTGCTTTTTAAAAAAGGAACATGGCAACATAGCCTTTTTCCAGATACAGTCATACCTCGGGTTGCGAATGTGATCAGTGCAGGAGGCACGTCCACAACCCACAGCGCTGCGTCTGCGCACGCGCGTGAGGCAATTCGCTGCTTCTGCGCATGCGTAAAGCACGATTTAGTGCTTCTGCACATGCGCCGAAACCCGGAAGTAACCCATTCCGGTACTTCCAGGTTCGGTGCGGTCCGTAACCCAAAAACGCGCAACCAGCAGCATTCGCAACCCGAGGAATGAATATATATGGAACCTGGATATAGGCTTCTGCACATGTTGTGTGCATGGTTCTTCTGACCTCAATGGACTGGGGCAAAAACTCATGTGGTTCTTTTGTTTACTGTCCTGGATTATTTAACTGAAATAAATACCGTATTTTTCGCTCCATAGGACGCACCGGACCATAGGACGCACTGGACCATAGGAGGGGGAGAACAGGAAAAAAACATTCTCCCCCTCTCTGCTCAGCGCCCCTTCCATTTCTCCTCCCGCTTCGCTGAAGGGGCGCTGTGCAGAGAGGGAAAACTGTGCAGCGCCTCTCCAGCGAAGCAAAGCCTGGAGAGCAAGAGCACCGACCCCTCTCGCTCTCCAGGCTTCAGGCAGCTATCCGCAAGCCTTCGGAGCGCAGCGGGAAGCCTTCGGAGCGCAAGGGGAAAAAGTGCGTCTTATAGAGCCAAAAATACGGTAATTAAAGGCTGCAATTCAGTGACAGAGCACCTGCTTTGAATGCAGAAAGTTCTGGGTTCAACCCCCGGCATCTCTAGGTGAAGCTGGGAGAGACCCACCTGAAACCCTGGAGAGCTGCGGTCAATCTGTGCAGACAATACTGAACCAGATGAACAAAGTGTCTTAACTTTGCATAAGGTAGCTTCCTATATTCCTTTGCCCACAAGTCAGTGCAGCTATGTGCGCAAGAGCCATGCACGCATTCAGAGATTTTGTTCACGTCAAGTTCTGACGGTTGAAGAGATTAACCCATTCTTAAACCAAATAGCAGTTTTTGCCCTGTCAGTAAAGGAAGAGGTTGCCCACAGAGGGTTTTCAACAATATGATTAATAAAGAAACTTATTCAACTTACTCTCCACCACCAAGTTCTAGGGAAGTTACATCTCCGTTGATAAAGTAGGTGTTTTCTCCACTCCACTTAAAGACCTAAGGGAGAAGAGTATAATATCATAGTTATTCATCACAGTTGCTTGTAGCTGTGGCAGAATGACAGTAAGCACTTGTTAGGGGGGAGAAGTGCAAGAGACACATGGTTTGTGTCAAAAATTCACCATCTTTGCCTTTGATGGAATAAGGGTCTGTTCCTGCTCAGAATAAGAGAACAAGGGACGCGTTCATGGTGAGTTCTGGCACCTCTTCTAGAAAAACAGCACTGCTCAAGACTTTTTAGCTAGAAACATTTTCAATCCTTGAGAAGCATTCAAATTTCCTTTACAATGGTCCCCCTGAGAGGTGCCAGAACTAAGTTCCGGTGAGCTCTGGCTGGAAAAAAACCCCCTGGTCTTAAGTAAAAAAAAAAAGTTGTCCCAAGCACGTTTTAACAAGAAGCTTTAAACATTCCCTATGGTGATTCTGATATAGTCTTCTTTTTTCTTGAGTTGTTTTTGATCCTCTCTATTTGTGTGTCAATTTATGCTCCTAGGTGTGAATCTTATTAAAAGCAGAATATTTTGCAATGTTACAATGTGGCTGCTTTCGCCTTCCTCATTTTTCTGTTTTCCTATTGCAAAAATTAAGTCAGCTATTCACGGTATTGACAAGTCACTGTAGCTCCTACAGTCTTGTATGTCCTCTTTTACATTCCCTGCAACCCACAGATGATTTGTACAATTTCTGCCTGAACAGCCATGTTAAAAAAATGTGGCCTCTGTCAGAAAATGCAACCTTTCCTATTTATTTTATGTGGTTCTTCCTCCAAGAAGCCCAGACTTACATAGGATCCGCTCACATCCAGACACCAACAAAGCTGAAGCTTGTTCAGCTGTGCCAATACAACAGCATCAGTATATTTAAGCCCTTTCATTGGTGTGTTTAATAATGCATTCAGAAATGCACCTTTGAGCTTTTGTACAAGTCTCAGCATCATTTCGCATAAACAAGCATATGGTGTAAGTAAAGTGTTAGGACCATCCTCAGTGCACCTTACCTTGAAAAGAGGATCAAATGTGTATAGGAAAGTTTCTCCAGTGCCATAATAGTGATCACTGAAGTGGAAAGGATGCGTTGCATAAGCCCCAAAAACCTGCCGAAACAAAATTACGATCCTATTGGAAGATACTTCCACATTTAACGGCATTCAGAAACATTTCAAACAAGGTTACTGTTGTTTTTACTTACTTAACCTACCTATGAAAAGCAAACGATGAAAATTTTCATATCCCTTAAGCGCTGGTCATTTATTCTCTATTTTATGATTTTAAAATTTTTATAATATGTTTCAATGATTTCATTGCATGCACAATGGTTTGTAATGAGTTGGTAGTTTATAACTATTCGTAAATAAATATGACTGCAGTTCAGAAATGGATAAGGAGACATAGATGCCTTCATTCTGCTGAATTATCAGGAGTTGAAAGCTCAAACATCTGCAGCATGCACACATGGAAATAAAAGGCACAGAGAGGTTCTATCAGTCCTCTCACACCTATCTTAGTGTCAGTTTTCAAGAAACAGATCGGCTTTTAATACCATCCTTCCGGACATTCTTATCAAAAAGCTGATGGAACTAGACCTTTCTTCTACCATCTGTGACTGGATTAAAGACTTTCTGAGGGATCGGACACAAACAGTGAGGATTAGGCCTGATACATCTACCTCCCTGAAGCTCAGCACTGGCACCCCACAGGGATGTGTGCTGAGTCTCTACCTGTACTCTCTCTATACATATGACTGTATTTCATCTGATCCATCTACTGCAGTTACTAAGTTTGCAGATGATACTACCATAATGGGTCTAATTGCAGGTGGAGATGAATCAGCGTACAGAGGGGAGGTTCAAAAAGTATCTACATGGTGCCTAGAGAATAACTTGCACCTAAATATTAGCAAGACAAAGGAGATGGTATTGGACAAAGGAGATGGTATTGGAGAGCCTCTTCCTTTAAATTCCTGGGAGTTTACCTTAGTGAAGACCTCACTTGGAAAAATAATATAACTCAAGTGGTTAGGAAGGCCCAGCAGAGACTCTATTTCTTCAGGGTCTTGTAAAAGAACAATGTTAAACAACAATTGATGACCTCCTTCTACCGATCCACAATAGAAAGTGTCCTCTCATATTGTATCACAGGGTGGTACGTTGGCTTCACAGCCACGGACAGAAAGTCTTTACAGAGGGGGGTGAACACAGCACATGATATCATGGGCTGTCCCCTGAGCCTGCTAGGTGACATTGCAAGGGATCGATGCCTTAGGAGAGCGAGAAAAATTCTCAGGGATGATTCACACCCCGGCTAGCACCTCTTTAATCTTCTATGCTCAGGCAGGAAATATAGAAGTATAATCAGTCATACCAACAGGCTAAAAAACAGTTTCTATCTGTGGGCTGTTAGGCTGCTGAATGGAAAATAATATAGTGCAACTGACTTTCGGGGTTGGTGTGTTGTGCGACAAGCACACAGAGTGTAATAAGATTGAGTGTATGGGGGGGAGGCTTGGTTAATTTCATTGTACACAGTTTGTACAGTGACAGTAAAGGTATTATTATTATTATTATTATTATTTCTCTTCTTGTGCAAAAGTTACAAGTATTCTAAGTTGCTCCTCCATCTAAACCCCTAGCAAAATCCAATGTAGTATGAGCAGATGTTTCCATTCCAGCCCCTGCATGCCCCAAAATTGCTCTTGAGAGCTGGAGAACCTTCCAGAGCAGTTTCTGGGGTGCAGGCTGGAGGATAAGAAGCCAGAAGTCCCATTGAAAAGTGGGGCACAAGTAGGCAGACATAATTAGATCTCAACCATTTTAAGACAGAAGAACAATGGCATCAATAAACTTGTGCTTTTTATGCCAATGTAATCTAAAAACGAACACGAAGCAAAAGTACTTTTCACACTATGAAGCACTCAAATAACTTGAAGACAGAAGACAGAGATCAATTGTGCTTTTTGTTAACACAAGACATATTTTAAGCTACACTCCTACTGAAATACTTGGAAACAAGAGGGAAAACAAAACACAATTAAACAGGATTTGTTGTGGTGCCTAACCTGATTGTCCATGTCTTTGATGACAAGCAGGACAGGGCTATCAAGAGATGCCGATTTACGATACAGTGTTTTCAAGCTGGTTCCATGTTCTTGTGTGCTGTAGACTAGCCTCCAGGGATATCCCTGAACCCTTGCTGGCAGGCACTGGGCGAGCTAGAAGATAAAAGACAGCATTGTAGTCAGTGTAAAATGCAACTGATGTGGCACTAGAAATTTCATTCCGTCCTGTATGAGAACTGAACAGTTCAACCTATAATCAGAGCTGTACCTCTGTACAATGAGGTGCATGAACAAGCTCCATAGGACGGGGCTCCCTGATTGCCATTTATAAAGCATCAAAAATTAATATGCATTGCACACAATTAAGAAGAGTTTGGATTTGAAGAAGAGTTTGGATTTGATATCCTGCTTTATCACTACCCGAAGGAATCTCAAAGCGGCTAACATTCTTCTTTCTTTCCCTTCCTCCCCCACAACAAATACTCTGTGAGGTGAGTGGGGCTGAGAGACTTCAGAGAAGTGTGACTGGCCCAAGGTCACCCAGCAGCTGCATGTGGAGGAGCGGAGACGCGAACCCGGTTCCCCAGATTATGAGTCTACCGCTCTTAACCACTACACCACACAAAACATGTTCTGATTTTATATATATATAAACACACACACACACACACACACACACACACACATTCTCCCCTTTATAAATTTTACCTGTTCTATATGCATATTTTCTAAGAGCACACTCTGGTTTTTTAAGACAGGCAAAGCATCTTCATCTTCTTCACTGCATCGATCATCTTCTTCACAATAGCTGCAAATGCTCTTTCGCCGTTTTGCCTCTTCTACAGTAATAATCTAAAAAGGGTTTAAAAAAGAGATACTTTTTTTAAAAAAAAAGTCTGGCAATAGTTTTATTCCATAATGCTAGATCAGTGGTACTCAGATGTTTTTATAAGAGAGAAAGTGACCCAGCACAGGGAAGGCTAGGGAAGCAGAAGAACCATCTAGTCATACCTTTTGGGGGATATACTATGTGCATCTTGAAATTTACTTATTTGATTGATGCAGTACACAATGTGTGAAAAGAAATGTTCTATACCGTGATACCTCAGGTTAAGTACTTAATTCGTTCTGGAGGTCTGTTCTTAACCTGAAACTGTTCTTAACCTGAAGCACCACTTTAGCTAATGGGGCCTCCTGCTGCTGCTGCGCCGCCGCTGCACAATTTCTGTTCTCATCCTGAAACAAAGTTCTTAACCCGAGGTAATATTTCTGGGTTAGTGGAGTCTGTAACCTGAAGCGTATGTAACCTGAAGCGTATGAAACCCGAGGTACCACTGTAAAAGAGCAAACTAATGCCCAGGTAACAATGGCATAGCTCTATCTCATTCAGAACAGGTTTACCTAGTCACGGGCGAAAATTAATCAAAGTAAATTGTGAGGGAAACACAGTAAAGGGCTGCTTTTAGCATCAGCTATTCACCCCACCCTTTCTTTGGAGCAACTGAGTTTGTAAACAGTACCACAAACTAAATATCTCTCACTAAAATCTGCAAGAATTAAAATACTTAACTTTGGCTGGGATTGTGCTCTTACTTTTTAAAATGGGAGGATAAAAGGGGAGGCCTAAAATAAGAATGTGTGGCTGGCATTCCACTAACAGCGCTAGGGGAATGTGATTTCTCAAATCTGGGAACCTGCAGAGGGGGAGGAGAGGGGGAGAACATTCTGCTGCGCAAGGACAAATCCTTGTGCTGATGGAACAAGTGATTTATCCTATGCCCCCAATCCAGGCACCCTGAAGGAACTCTTGTGTTTGCTGTGATCTGTACAAGGGGACTCCTTTCTTCCAGATTATCTAGCCAACAATGGTCAAATATTGTCAACTGGATGGCAACTGACTGGCCTTATAACTAAGCCTAGAGGACTCTTTTGACCCTAAACTGTAATATTCATTCAGCAAAGGAAGAAGTTGCCTTATTTAACATGTATGCTGTTCTGTAACGGACAGAGAGTTCATAGAGAGGATGATATTATAATGCGGAGGAGTTTGCTCTCTGGCTTTTATCCATGCCACCACATTATTCCAACCACATGGCCTCTCATAGAATCACATCAGATATGACTAATCTAATAGCTAAAGGGGTTGTTTTATGGTAATGGACATCTATATATATTGATCTAATTTGTTCGCTACATTATATTTGACTGTCAAAGGAAGAGGACAGTGTAAAATAAACATGGACATTTATTGGCTTATGGTCAAATTAGGTCATCGTATTTGAAATGTTTTCCATTACAGCTCCTATGCCGTGATCCTCCAACTTCTACTACCATTGTAAAAACGAGGGAAATGTTTTTAAAGGATTTACTATTTAGATAGCTTTTTGTTTGATGGAAACCTGTAATATACTTTTACTTATTTTATTTCATTAATTTTTTGTCATGTTTCAGAATAAAAGCCTGCTCGAGGTAGTTCTGTCATAAAAGCATTAAACATTAAAACAACTGCAAAACACATACCCCAATCTAAATTAAACCTAATAAACAACTTAATGTGATTTAACACCTCATATATGCTACTTGTCCTTCAGAGGAGTGTGTCTGCCTTTTTCAAGTCCAGGAAGGAAGTGCTCAGGGACGGCTTATGGAAATACTTGAACTGATTAATTAAAATCTCAAGGTACAATAATGAAAACAAGATAAAAACAATGAACAGAAAAACAGAAGATAGAAGAGCCAGTGTGTTTCCCAAGTTGGGAACAAAATGTTGACTATGTGCACCTGCAATTGAGATGCAAAATATGCATTTTATTTGCATGTGAAGAGGCAGTTGCATACACACTGAAGGACAGGATTAAAAACAAACAGCAACAACAGAAACTCCTTTTACAGCTCTTTTAGTGCCGTAATCCTATACGCAGAGAATAAGTGCAACTCAATAGTACGTACTTCAGAGTAGGCATATGTACCAAGATGAGAAATCACAATTTCAACAGAAATGCATTCTACAACAAGGGCAACAACATGATATCACACCATGTGCAGCACTGCATTTGTCATGCATATAAAAAATGATATGCAACGTATCTTAATTGCAACTACATTTCAATATGGTCTATGATGAGAACAGTTTTATTAACCAGGAAACAGCACTCCCATTCTGAACGTTCTATGTTGAGAATTGGCAAACAAAAGAACTAAAAGACAACAACTTTCACTTTAACCTACCTTCACGAAGGGCTCCTGGTCAGGCTTGGCACAGAATATTATTTGAAAATTCACAGCCGTTTCCTTTTGTCTGTCTCTTATGATTTTCATTTTTTTATTACCTTCTGATTTCTCGCCACACGTGAAGCTCCTGTCTCTACAGCTAACTCTGAAACAAGCTGCTTTCTAAACTGCCTTATATACCAAACTAACTTTCGTTTTCTCTAGAACGAGCCCAAGGGCAGCCTGGCAACAGATTCAACGCAAAAAGACTTTATTGTAAATAGGGTATGAGTCAGACAGCAGCAGCAGTCCATTTTCAGATTAGGTTTTGCAACAACTTTTATTGCCATTTCCATGCACTACCTAAACATAAATTTACAGTGGCTCCAAGATTTCACAAGAGCAGGCTCTCTTACCTATTCCCAAAAAATTGCAGGAATCCCAGGATTCTCTCGCACACTCTTTGTCACCTGTCAATGCACTTTTCCTCTAAACCCAACTGATCAAACATCCACTGATCAGCATTAGATAAGGGACATCACTTCCTAATAGCTGCAGTGTCCTTTCTTGATTTCACTTATCTCCAGCCATCACAAGGAATGCTGCTCTCTTAAGTAAGGCTGCCATAATAACATTTTTAAAAGGTAAAGGGCCCCCAACATTTAAGTCCAGTCACAGACGACTCTGGGGTTGCGGCGCTCATCTCGCTTTACAGGCCGAGGGAGCCATTTGTCCACAGACAGTTTTTCTGGGTCATGTGGCCAGCATGACTAAGCCGCTTCTGGCGCAATGCAACACCGAAACCAGAGCAGCACATGGAAACGCTGTTTACCTTCCTGCCGGAGCGGTACCTATTTAGCTACAGTGGTACCTCAGGTTACATATACTTCAGGTTACATACGTTTCAGGTTACAGACTCCGCTAACCCAGAAATAGTACCTCAGGTTAAGAACTTTACTTCAGGATGAGAACAGAAATCGTGCTCCGGGGGCGCAGCAGCAGTGGGAGGCCCCATTAGCTAAAGTGGTGCTTCAGGTTAAGAACAGTTTCAGGTTAAGTACGGACCTCAGGAACGAATTCCTGGGTTCAGGAAACTATATGTCTATCAAGGGACCATGCTAATAATGGCCAGAATATGTAGAAAAGAATATGGGAGTCTTCCCAAAATAAGCTTCAGGCCACTCCAGATCATACACCCACATATCTAGGATCCCGTCTTCTGTGTGATGGCAAATACCGTAATTGCTTCAACTGATTTCTCTGTTTGGTCTCAATATGCAGTCAAGCCTCCCTCTACCATGCCACCACAGGTCATATGTACCCACAACCTGAGAAAAGTGGGTGGCATTCAACTAAATACAGGTAGGTAGCCGTGTTGGTCTGCCGTAGTCGAAACAAAATAAAAAAATTCCTTCCAGTAGCACCTTAGAGACCAACTACCGTACGTTTGTTATTGGTATGAGCTTTTGCATGTTTTTTCCTGTAAGACCAATTGCAGTTGTTAACAGTCGTCAACCATTCCCACATACCAATAACAAATTTAGTTGGTCTCTAAGGTGCTACTGGAAGGAATTCAACTAAATAGTTCCACTAGTGCACTGATTACCGCTAGCGTGATGGAATTTCTTCCCTCTTTTCCTCCCACATGTTTTCTGCACTATCCCCAGTCTGCTCTGAAGGGATGGGGGAATTCTCAGAATAGATTTCATTGGGGGAGGGAAGGGGGCAAATGTTCTATTGTGCAAGGAAGAATCCTTGCCCTGACTGTTCCACTTAGTGCTACGCTGAACACATCCCTATGTCACTTGCAGTTTCTTTAACTAGTTTGTTCTCTTTTTTTATCAGAGATTGTTTTTAAAAAATGCAAGTGAAGATTTTTTTTAAAAAAAAACCTGATTTTAAAGTTCAAAACTGATTTAAGATGAATGAAATCAAATCCAATTAAAACAGGTTAAACCCATCTTTCTTTAAACTTATCACTGTGCAATTGATATTAAATCAGCATATATAATGTAATCATTTAGGCTCCCTGTCCTGGGTCACAATTTGGAGTAGCCCAAATTTTCCATTACCTCATTTATGAGTATTGCAGTGATTTAGAAAATTACTGTGCATCTCAAAAGAGATAGTCTCCTAGTCATAGAGGTGTGATACTTATAAGAATATAAACTGCCAACTCATAAAAATATCAAGGTGGTATACAGTAAAACTATTAAAACCTATTGTATGTAGTAGACCAAGCTTATTTTGGAGTTCAGGGGTATATAAACTCTTGTTCCTTTTTATGCTTTCTGACTGAGTTGTGACTTTTCAACACAAGGAAGAACTTGAAATTGGTAACCAACGTCAGCACTGAGCTCAGAAAGTGGAAGGGCACATGGTAAACATCTGTGTGCTCTCACTGCTAGTCTCTATATCCTTCGCATGCGGCAACTTGAATGGCCCAACCAATACGTCATGCATTGCTGCCTTTCACAGTTTCCAGTGCTTGATTAATTCCCTGTAACAATTAACACTTTTCCAGGTATGCCCAGACAAAGCTAGCCCCTCCCATTTTTTGGAAGTGGGTAAACTGCTTTCCGGAGTTTAGGCTAAAACAGCATGTCAGAGGAGCACACACACTGGATAAACAGTAGCCTATTGTAGATTTTACTTATTTTAAACTAATGTTTATGGCTGTTATCTTATAGTTTTATATCATCCAAATCAGTTTAATTTTCTGCTCTAAGTCAGAGGAAAGGAAGGACACCAACACATCTTAGTGCCCCGCTGCCAGGAAATCAGCAGCGGGGTGGATACCTGCCTACCTGTGGCAACTTGAATGGCCTTTATCCTGCCTTTTGCTTTCCAGCCTTGATTCATATCCTGGAACAATTAACACTTTCCTAGGTATTCCTAGACAAAGCTTGTCCCTCCCATTATTAGGCAACAGCTAAGCCGCTTCTGGCAGTTTAGGCTAAAACAGCAAGTCTGGACCTATTGACTTTTTAAAAAAATGTAATTATCACACACCTTTATATCAATAGCCACCCTCAGCTTCCAGTCAGAGGAATATAAAAACATTTATAAAAATGAAATTAAAGGAAATAATAAGGTTCTTTGAATTTTTTTAAGCAGCCCTGTAAAGATTGTGTGTGTGTGTGTGTGTGTGTGTGTGTGTGTGTGTGTGTGTCTATATATATATATATATATATATATATCTTACAAAGAAAATAACTGAATGATTGAGATAGCAATTGTGCCAACTTTAGGCTTCTGTAGGGAAAACAGAAACAACTCCTAATGGTACTTTCCTGTTCATCTCATATGTATACTCATATTCTCTCTCTCTCTCTCTCTCTCTCTCTCTCTCTCTCTCTCTCACACACACACACACACACACACACACACACACACAGGTCGTCTAGGGACGGGACACATTCTCACTGCCACCACATGCAAACAACATAGTAGAGCCAGTAGTTCTCTTGCCTCAAAGAGCATCTCCCATTCCTTCCTTCCATAGTGTACTGTAGTGAGTAGCTGCAGGATCAGTGAAGCTTAGACTCAAACAGGACAAATTTATCTCCCCAAAGACGATTTTTTTAAAAATCAAATTTTATTTTATTCACAAAATGCCTCAGTCTGGATCAGGATCTCCCTTCATATTGTCTTCCTGCCAAAATTTCCCCCCAACTTCACCACTACCACCACAAAAATCAGGGCACATAGCAGTTTTAGGGAGTGATGTTTTAGGCAGTGATGTTTGCTGAGAGACTGGCCACCTCAGGGATTCCTGCCTGAGCTGAGAGTTGAACAGGAATTTTCTGCCCACAGGTCATACTTCTAACCGGTATAATCCACTAGCTTTCTAACTCTATACTTTTTGGTACATTTAGTATAGGAGCCACACGTGTATTGAGAACATAGGAGCCACTGTCCAGAAGAGTTTTTGGGTTAGCAGGGATTATGTTCCTCAAGCTACATGTGATTTCTTTCTGAATGTTTTGATTTGCTTTAATGTAACAATACTTTAATTGTTTTTATAAATCAAATATAGAAATACTACCGGGAAGAAATAAACTGTCCAAAACTACACAGAATGTGGGACAGGGGGTCACTTAAAAGGTCAGGAAAAACGAGGAAATGAACAAGGAAGAAAGGAGCTCTGATAGGGCAGATTCAAGAGGCAGCAGGGGCTGCATAAAATGAGGTTGCAGTTGCCCAATTGTGCATTAAGATACATGTCGTTCTTTTATTGGTGTCCACTGCTTCTTGTCCTTCATGAGCTAACGTGTTCTGAAAATTGTTGTTCTGTATCATAATACAACAGGTGTTGTGGTTTTATGTTGTACATCAATCAGATCTCTGCATATTTACCATACATGTTTCATGGCAGCCTGGGAGGTGGTCATAAAGTCATTTTGAAATTACAGGGATTTGTATGTGGGTTTTTTCAATAAATTCCCACTGCAAAAGAAACTCATTCGATGGCAAGTAAATTGACCAATAATTCTAAAATAAAACAAAACTCTATTTCCTTTTAAGGATCCTATGTTTTAGATCTGAAGGAAAATCCCATCCCATTGTTTCCTGAATTTTATCCAATATATCCCTTCAAAATCTTTGCATAAAATATTGCTTCGGTAGAGCTGCATCTCTCCCCCCTCCCATTTTTTTAAAAAAATCCTGACTGTGTGTATGCCTCTGAATCAAAGATTCGAACAATTTATCTTAAAGGCAGATGTTGCAAGTTAACATCTGATCCTCAACTACATAATTTATATTGTTTTTTAATCCTGTTGATGACACAAATCTTTAACTCACCCTACAAACCCTTTGATTTGTGTGAATTTAAAGAATCTGTCTACAAAAATTAATAGCAGTAATAAAGTGTGTATCCGATCTAGACAATTTTGTTTAACACAAGAAACTTTGCTTCAAGATTAAATAATAAATATTTAACCATATAATTATGTAACTGTTGCTCTGGGCTCCTTTGGGAGAAAGGGCAAGATATAAATTTAATACACAAACAAAATGAAGAGTTTTGCAGGGATGCCAACAAGAACAAGAAGAAATTATACTAACAACTCATAGAAAGATTGTTTCTGTAGTGGACAAATTATTTGTCCATGAATGAGCCTCACAAGGTTGCTGTGAAGATAAAACTGCCTGCCCTGAGCTCCTAGGAATAGGGATAAGATAAGACATGGGACTGATTAAATGTTTGGGATTTATTTTGCACAAGGGAACCTGAATATATTTGACTGAAATATATTTTGCTAGAATTCATAGTCTTGGTGTTGTATCCAGTTGTATCTCTCTCCCTTGTAGCATATTTTATATAAGTATAAAGTTTTAAATCTACCAATGTTTAATTGGATTTTCAAGTTTTTAGCGATTCTGGTTTTTGTCTGTAAACTGCCTTCAGCCCCATTAGGGGAAAAGGCGAGGTATAAATTATTATTAATAGTAATAACAGGGAATTTATGTCTGGTTTCAGGAGCACTCACTTACCAGGAAATATGAGAGGAAACAGGCCTCGAAATGGCTACTGAAAAATCAGAGTGGAGTGTATATGTATATAACGAATTTATTAGTACTACAAAAGAAAAATATTCTATAGAAAAATGGAGTATTTTCATATTATACAGGAACCCAAACGTACAAAATACAGTAATTCATTTTATTATATTTGGAGTAATTTTTAAAAATTGTAATAATATGTTTTCGTATTTGTTGATGTATTTATTTGTTGATTTTGGAATTATTAAGTTGAATAAATAATAAATGCATTTTTCTTGTCACAAATGCATGTAGTTCTTTATTTGAACTCTACAGTTCACCTGTGATATTCAGAATAAAACTAACATAGGACTGTATTATCCATTTATTCATTGTAGCAGAGTCCATGAAAAGCAGAATTCGTACTTTGTCACACATGGTCCAACCATGCATGCAACCATGAGGACTATGAACTTACTTTAGAAGAGGCCAACGACAGGTTACAATCAGTAGGAATAAATCTCCTTGGCAGCCAGATGTGTTGTTATATATCAATCCTGCCATGGAGTTTCAAATACTTCTGATTTGAAAACAGATGCCACTCACCTCCCAGCTTTTTGTTGAGGGTTCACTGAAGAAGTTGTCTATCATGTCAAGCTCCTCCTTTTCCACCACAACAAAGCCCTGTTCTTTAGCATCTTTGCCATACACATCTGGTGACCACTGTACAAAGAAGGTATACAGGTGATCTACCCTGTGAAGTGAAAGCAAAAAGATAGGGGCTGAGCATTCCAAAACCCTTCGTGGGAGGCAGATTCACTAACAGTAAAACTCTGTGCACATCTTCTCAAAGGTATGCTCAAATCAGTTAAGTAGAACTTACTCCTAGGCAAGTGTAAAATACTAACACCATTTGCCAACAATGAAGCTTTATTGAAAATGTTCAGTGAATGTGGCAGCAGCTTTTGTTTTTGACCAAATATTTGGTGAGAGCTGGACTGAACCTCAGGCTTACACTTTCTCCCTACTCCTACCTCACAGAACACCCAAACTGCAAAATACTGTAGTTATTCAACATTGAATCTCTCTTATCCCTCGATTTTGAAGCAACTTTGCATTCAGTATACGGATTCAAGGGTATTCCTGCATTCAGAGAGCACAGGAAACAAACCATCCTTTGAAGCTGCAATTATCAAGTGATAAACATATATGAAAATAAAAACTCATCAAGAGATAATGGGCCACTCTGGCTGAGACCAAAGGCCTAGCTCATCTAGTATTTTGTTCTTCCAATGGCCAACCAGCTTGTGATCAGCAGCCTGAGTTTTGGTTTTCCATGAGAAACAGAGGGAAGGCAGGTGCAATTTTATCTAATCTTTCTGCAACCACTTCCTACCAATCCACAGTGCACTACCCATGATTGAGTTATTCCACTGGGGCGGGGGGAATCCCTCTAGTAATGCAAGTGACTCACTTAATGTCTTTCCACATGATGTTTCACTGTTTCATTTTGTGTCACTGCAGCCTTTCCCAGCCTGGTGAGCGCCAAACAGTTGGGACTACAGTTTCCATCAGTCCCAGCCAACATTGCCAATGGTCAGTAATTCTTGGAACCTGGAGCCCCAAACAACTGGAGGGCAGCAGAATGGGGAAGACTGTTCGCAAAATGTATATATCACTTGATTTTTTTGGGGGGGATACCCCCCAAAAAATCTCAAAGCGGTTTACAAAAAGGATAAAACAAGAAAATCAAGCAAAAACTACAAAAGTACTTTAAAACATACAAAAGTTAAAATACTAAAACAGATTAAAATTACCTCAACTTCCTAAGTACCTGTTTCCATAACAGATCAACTTGCCTATTTCCAAAGTGAAAAATCAAGTAACTAATTTCTAGAGAGCCAGACAGAAACATAAGTCTGCTGAGGGAAAGGCAATCACTTAGTTAAAGACTATCAAATCGTAAACATTTTACTGCATGTGAATTCTGGTAGCCAACTATTAATCTCGTCATGGTTCTTAGATAAAAAGATAAACCATACAAATCACTTCCATATACACATTTAAGGCAATGAGTCTCAAGCCCTTGGAAGCAAATCCTTCTGGCATATTTTCAAGTAACTGTTTTGGGAATCAAGCATAAGACAATTTCAAGAAACACATATACAGTATTGATATATTTCTGCAAGATACCAACGTGGAGGAAACAGTATATTACCATTATTCTATCCCACCCTTCTTCCCAAAGGATCCCAGGATAGCAAACTACAAAAACAAGAAAAATGATACAGTTATTGTTGTTTCCTCAAATATCCTCACAAATAAGTAATTTCAAGGTTCCAGGAACCAACATACTTCTGCCACCACGTGCCTGAGTAAACAAAGATTTTTAAATTCCTCCTGAATGATAAGAATGAAGGAGGGAGACACAAACACTGTGTACCAGGGAAGGCATTCCATAAACAGGGAATTACTGCACAGAAGGCCCTATCATGGGTCTGAGGAAGCTCAGTAGCACTCAGTTGCAGCACCACCAACAGGACCTTCCCTGCTGATAGCCCACATGAAAACATCACTGCTGTCTTAATTTCAGGGATTCTCAGCTCACTTTCTTTGAGTCTAGCTTGTCAACTGATTAAAGCAGGGATGTCCAACAGGTCGATCATGATCTACTGGTAGATCACCGTGAGGTTTTGGTAGATCGTGGTCGATCTCTGGCTCCCTTTCCTTAGCATCGCTAAAACTGACTCCTGCCCTGTCCCCTCGCCCCGCCCTCCATTGTTGTTTGATCTATGGAAGGTAAGACAGAGCTTTCTCTGTGCTGCTATTTTCATCCATAGAGATCTTTTTGTGAGTGACTTCACCCCTTTATCCCTTGCCTTTAAACCCGCCTCAAAAAGCGGGGAGAACTAGGGGAGAACCTGACAGTGCTGAGTTTCTGGAAGAGGGCGGGAAGAAGGTAGAGAACTGGTCAAGAATATATTTTGTACAAATTTTGCACTGGGTGCAGAAAATTCTCTACCTGTGGTGCTTCCATCTACAGCTGTGAGTGCTGTAGATGTGTTAAGTGCAAACTTAAATGCCCAGTTCTCCTCATTCCAAACAATCTTACTGAATGGCATCATTCTACAAGTCACACCAGCGGGCGGGCATGAGATGTGGCTCTCACTCTTTATTACCAAAGCTTAACTTACCATCATCATGTTATCTTGATCAAAGGCTTTAAGGTCTGAAATGCTAAACACGTAAAGCCCACGCCAGTCAAAACAAGCGAGTGACCTTGTTTGCCAGCCTTTCACAGTCACTCCAACTCTTCTAAAACAAAGCTTTGTTTGTACACAAATAAGTTTGACCAGGTGGTCTTATGGGTAACTTACAAAGGACGCAGTCCCTGCTCAGAGAAACAAAGACTCTGTTTTGGCCACCACTGCACCTAGAAGGTGGTTGTTGGAAATGCAGCATAACAGTTGCACAGAGCAATGTCAGGACTGGGGGACTGACGCATAATATTTATATAGTTACTGGCTGCATATAGATTTATATAGTTACTGGCTGCAGAAGGGTAGGTGCAGGGCCAGATTTAGGTCTGATGAAGCCCTAAGCTACTGAAGGTAATGGGGCCCTTTATATGTCCAGCTGTCCTTTGTCAACAACAAATTGTCGCTGTTTTTTGTGTTGAATATATGCTATATGGTAATTTATGGACCTAATAGGCATCTAAAGCCATTTGCACATAACAAATAGGAGCCTACACAACACAAAATACGGTTGCTGTATGTAGGTTTTATTTTATTTGTTTTTTATCTTATACCGTATTTTTCGCACCATAGGGCACACTGGACCATAGGGCGCACCCAGTTTTTAGGGGGGGAAATCAAGAAAAAAAATATTCCCCCCCCAGCCCCAAAGAGCAGCATACAGGCTGCGCACAACCTCTCCCTGCCAGAGGGGTTGCGCGCGGCTATGGCACAAGTCAAGGCAGCGAGCAGGATGGATCCCGCTCGCTGTTTTGGCTTCCTCTTTAGCCCCACGCAACCTCTCCTTGCCGGGAGACGCTGTGCAGGGCTAAAGAAGCCATAGCCCCGTGCAGCCTCTCCTTGCCGGAGGGGTTGCACACAGCTATGGAGGAAGCCAAGGCAGCGAGCGGGATCCCGCTCTCTGTTTTGGCTTCCCCTTTAGCCCCGTGCAGCCTTTCCTTGTTGGGAGACGCTGCACAGGACTTTCCTGGCTTTTCTGGGAGGTGGGGGAATTCCCCCACCTCCCGCAAAACCGACAGAAGCCGCGCACACTTTAAAAGGGCTGCACGGCTTCTCCTGGCTTTCCTGGGAGGTGGGGGGATTCCCTCACCTCTCCCAAAAGCCCGCAGAAGCCGCGCAACTCCTTTAAAGCGATCGCGGCTTCTCCTGGCTTTTCTGGGAGGTGGGAGAAGGGATTGATGCGGCCAGTCAGTCCCTTCTCCCTCCTGTGGAAAAGCCCGCAAGAGCACACGGAGCTTGTGTGCGGCTCTTGGGGGCTTTTCCCGCCTGCCTCCCCCCTGCATTCGCTCAATAGGACACACACACATTTCCCGTTGCTTTTTAGGAGGGAAAAAGTGCATCCTATGGTGCGAAAAATACGGTATTTTGGAAATGTACACCCAGTTTTTTTTCTTTAAATTTTTTGGGGGTCCCCAAGAAAGTGGGGCCCTAAGCTATAGCTAGTTCAGCTTATACATAAATCCAGCATTGGATAGGTGGGAGAAGACTAACATACTGCTTTATCTTTCAAGAAAAAAGTGATTTTGTTCTCCTCTGCATTATACTACCACTCCCGCACTGCCAAAATATCAGAAATAACTTTAAGGTCCCTCCCTTCTTCAAAACCAAGGCTGGTACTATTCAAATGTTGTTGGAGTTGAACTGCCATCATTCACAGCCAGCATTGCCGGTGATCAGTATGATGTAAGTTGCTGCCCAGCTACTTCTGAAAGGCTACAAGTTCCCCACCTTTGCAAACAAAAAAATTCTGTTTTGTGTGTGCACACAAACTTCCTTTTGAAAAAGAAACACTATGACCCGTAGTCCTTGATTCCAATGCGTTCCCAACTGTATCAATCCTTACAGAGCAGTGTTTAAAATTGTTGTTGTTGTTTAGTCATTTAGTCATGTCCGACTCTTCATGACCCCATGGACCAGAGCACGCCAGGCACTCCTGTTTTCCACCGCCTCCTGCAGTTTGGGCAAACTCATTCTGGTAGCTTCGAGAACACTGTCTAACCATCTCGTCCTCTGTCGTCCCCTTCTCCTTGTGCCCTCCATCTTTCCCAACATCAGGGTCTTTTCCAGGGAGTCTTCTCTTCTCATGAGGTGGCCAAAGTATTGGAGCCTCAGCTTCAGGATCTGTCCTTCCAGTGAGCACTCAGGGCTGATTTCCTTAAGAATGGATAGGTTTGATCTTCTTGCAGTCCATGGGACTCTCAAGAGTCTCCTCCAGCACCATAATTCAAAAGCATCAATTTTTTGGCAATCAGCCCCCTTTATGGTCCAGCTCTCACTTCCATACATCACTACTGGGAAAACCAGAGCTTTAACTATACGAACCTTTGTTGGCAAGGTGATGTCTGGATTCACCTAATGAACTTCCAATTGCACAATGGACTTCCCTGTGCCTCTCGAAATTGACTCAGAACCTCCAGAACAACATGAAGCAGGACAAAATGGTCATTCCATCTGGCAAACTGAAATGCCTGAAAGATGGCACGTTTGTAATAGGAACCATGTACTCTCCCCTAAATTGTTTCATTCCAATATTGTACCGGGGGGGGGTGCTCTCTGGTGGGAGTGGGCAACTTTAATCGTGGCTGGAGAGAGAAGAATTCAATCTCTCCTTCCTTCATGCTGCAGTCCTGATCCAGATCAGGGCCCATCCTTACTCCTGAGTAAATGAAACACATATGCAGACTTGCATAATTACTGCTATGTATTCTTCGACTCAAATCACTCACCACGTTATTGGCTCAGTGTTTTGGTGCACAAGCAGAAGCAAGCAGAGGACTCTAGTGAAAGGCTGCTTTGTGAACGCATCTTTTCACACATGTATTAAATGCATAGCACAGGATACAGACGGAGGGGATTAGATGTGCTTCACCACTGATATTTTAAAGGATGTAAAAACGAGTAATTTAAATTGTCAACTGATCTCTGAAGTAAGTGCTATGCCATTAAGACCATGTACCATTACTCAGTACCCCCTCTCTAATATTACCTGAAGCATAAAATTCTGCAGCAGGGGCTGCTTTGCAATTTGCCAGTGCTTTATAAGCACTGGTGACTCTCTCTAGTCATCACTGTTTTTAACTCACTGGCAAATGGAAAGCAGGCAATACTGCAGAGGTTTATAGATACAAACTACTAGCCTATTATTCTTCAAACATAACAAGCACATGCAAAAGTAACACAGCCTATTTATACTTATACATCCTATGCCCTTTAAAAATGTGGGGTTTTGGGGGGGAGGGGGTTATTGGGTTGTTTTTAATCTGATTATGTATTTTGTGGTTTTATATTTTGATTTTATTCTGTGAACCGCCCTGAGACCTGAGGGAGGTATATAAATTCAATAAATAAATAATATACTTACCCTCTAGAACTGTTGAAATTCCCCATTGCAAGATACACAATGAAGGACTTTCAGTAAGCTGGCTAGATGCAGTGGTACAACTGGGTCAACATAAAGATTCACGCAGAGCAAAGAAGGACCCTTATAAAGCATACCTCCCTAATGATTATTGCTTCTAGAGTTTCGTGCCAAAGATAAGGGCTCCTCCTATTTCACAATCACAAAGGCAACAGTGGCCAAAGTCACTGATTAACTGGTTTCATTGTCTACGCTGACAAAGTAAGATATGCTTTGGGAGAGAGCGCTTGCTGCATGTCCAAAGTCACATAGGAGACAGACGTGTCCAGCAGAAGACGCCAAGAACTGCAGCTGTGGCACATTGTACCTTATTGCAAAGGCAGTCATGCAGATGGGCTGCATGATCCATCAACAAGCTTATCAGCTACATGACCTCATTTCCAGGATGGATGGCATTGCTACTCTGTTGTGGTAAGAACAGCCAAGAGTCTTGAAGTACTTTAAACACATCTATATATAAAATTGTAAGGAACTGATCCATCATTTCATCAAATGGTTTCATTTTGTTCTTGGAACTTTTAAGAATGCTGTTATGGGTCATGCTTCAATATCAAGAGATGTATTGCAACATAAATAAAATGCAACACAGCTCTTAATAATAAAACATCACCTTGGAACAATTCTAAGAACTCAAATGAAATATCTGACACACACACACACACACACACACACAGGAGCTGCAGCTGTGTTTCATTTTATACTCTTGCTACTAATAGAGTCACTCCATTAGTTCACTCTTCATCTTCGGAAAAAGTCTAGAGTGCTTCCTTCCTCAGACTTAATCTGCTTTCCGCCAAGTCTTTTCTGGACTATTATTCCCCTTAAACTATTTTTGCCACCCATTTATTTTAGGCTTTCCCCCATTCATTCTTGATGAAGCTGTTTGAAGGTCAAACTAGGTGTGAGACGAAACATGCAAAGGCAGGGGAGAAAAAGGGAGTTTTTTATATTTATAGTGGCTGCCAGGGAGGTGATTTTTTAATCAGGACCACTGTGCAAAGAGACAGGAAATACAATCATTTCCTCTACCGTGACTGTTGTGATAAAAACCACCTTCCTCCCCCACTAGCCCACAAAGCTGTCCTGGAGAGAAACTTCCATGAGGTCTTCTCCATGTGCACCTTGGGGTTTCATATATATATATATAAAAGAAGTTCAGCTGACATCATCGCAAGTGACACATGTAGCTTCTAATCTAGTTTGGCTTCTTTTACGTGAAATTCTGTGAACATCAGTTGTTGTTTTTAAATCAATTTTTAAGCGAGAAATCCAAACCCCAGATCTGCTAGGATAGGCGGAATTATGATGGCAAACCTTTTAAAGGTTTGTTTTCCCTCTGTCGGGTCAGCCAGCAAGAGCTACAGAGTTTGTAATGGGGTTTGTGATACTTATCACTAATAAGTATCTTATCACATTCCACAAAGCAAATAAAAATAAGCTGAATGTGCCTTGGACAGAAGAAAACACCACGTATCTGCAGGGACAAACCACTCTGTTCGGTTCCATTCGCATGATGTTGGCAACAAAACAATAACAAGGATATCTGGAAAATGAAAGGCTTCTCCAAGAGAAGCACTAATCACACAGCTGGTGGGCAAGAAATGTAGTTCTTATAAACTCCGGAATGGTCCTGAAAAGTGAATGAATGGTCCTGAAAAGTGACAGCTTACCTTTCTCGTGGAACAGCAAACCAGTACTCCGGTTGCTTTCTTCTTTTATTATATTGCTGAGCCATTGTGGAGCTTTGAGAAGTAAAGGACTTCCTCATAGGCTTGCCCACTTTGATGCACAGAAACATCGGAGGGGACTTGCTTTTCTCTTCCTTTGAAGGAAGCATATCTGAATCCAAAAGACCACAGAGTTAGAACATAGCAAATGGAGCACAGTGGCCAGGCCTGCAGCACAACTTAGCCTTTATCAAGGAGTGACTTAAGAAATGCAGAATACGGTTATGAATTTATTATATTTAAATGTATATTCTGTGAACATTCTGTACAGGCTGCCCTTCAGTGTATTTCAACTGCTTTTAATACTGTATTTTAAAATTATTGCAACGTACCCTGCAACATAATGGTGAAGGTCTGGTAGGAAATTATTAGGCTTATTATTCTCAGCTTACATAAAAATATATATAAATTGCAGCTGGTTTTCCTCCAAGACTAATTTAAGGGAAGCAACAAAAATACTTTGCATAAAGACAACTTATGAAATAACTTCGATACTTTGACCTGCAGAAAAAGAAGTTCAAGTGGGTTTTAATGTAGCCCCTACAATTAGGAAAATTCAATTTTTTGACACATTCCCACTTCTCAACTATATTCAAGTCGTAAGAAAGAAAAAAACCCCAAGAGTATTCCACTTCTCTAGAAACAACTGCAGAAAGAGATTAGAATCAAGAGCAGACTTGTTAATTTTTTGTAGGACATAACTGTGCTGTTAAGCAATCTGTAAAAAAAAAAAACAAGGTTGAAAATAACTATTGGAAACTGAAAGAGAATTTCTGTCCTTCATTAACATAGGGTGCTACAGTAACACTATGGCAAGAAGGCCTACCTTCAATGGGCACTTGGATTCTCTGCAGCAGCCAGAGTCTGATTTCAGACTTATTATCTAGCTGAGATGGCAATGAAGAGGCTATTGATCCTTCATGGTCCTTCTTCTCTGCTGTTGCGCCAACTTCTTGCGATGCCTCTTTCCTTCCATTAGAACACAAATCTGGCCCTTCTCTTTTGCCTTTCACAAATTTATTGGCTTGGGAATGTGAAGAGCTAAGGGTGAGGTCTATGCCTCCTGGTATACTGTTCCCCTCTTCCTTGACGTTAGCCTTACATAAGTCATCAGTAGTCTGTGGCTCATCCTTATCTTTACTGAGGTAAAATTCAATAAGTTTGTCTTTATTCAGCTCCTTGTTTGCATCCAGAGTTGTTTCCACCTTATTTGTTGGTGAACTACCCCCCTTGTTTATTTCAGGCACCACATCCAGCTTCTCACAGGACTCTAAATCAAGGACATCTTTAAGAACTTCATGCTTTGTCCCTGACTGGTCACAATTTTCTTTATTTGTTGCTTGCAACCAAACTTCCTTTTTCATTTTAGAGTCATTGGGAACACCAACTGTTCCAACATCTGTGCTCTTTACTTTGCTATCAGTCTGTGATGAAGTCTCTTCCAATTCAATAAAACCATCTTCTTCCAGAAGGGAATTATCTTTGGATAGGTCCAGACTAACACTCTCCACAGAATGTTCCGTGGTACATTCCAAAGCCACCCTTTTTGAAGGTTCGGGAGTGTTGGAGTCCCTTTGTGTTTCCTCTGACTTGGAGGTCACCAAGGAAGAACTTTCAGGAGGTTTAAGTTCAAGATCTGTAGACTTCTCCTTCTCCGTGGGCTTTATTGGTGTGGAATTCAGGGTGACAAAGTTGTCCACTTTGGGCTTCTTCTTCTCCTTGTTTATGGATTTAAATTTGCTGAAAGGGTTGATATCCTTCTCAGAAGCAAGGTCTTCCCACTCACCTGGCCTGTACAAAGGACAAAGATCCTTTGGAATGTCGCTGTCAGGAAAGATGGTGGATGCATATGGAATGTTAAAATGGAGAACAAAATGATAATAAAATGAAAACTCAATAAATACTAAAATAAATATAAACAAAACAAATGGCAAAAAGGAACTTTCAACTAAAATACACCAAAGCAACATTGAAATAAACCAATTTTGCTTCTCGCAAAATAAAATGCAAGCCAACTGAAATAAGTAATTATGGAGTTGAAAGAATTGGTATAACAAAATATTTGTATTTTGAAGTTCATGTTGTGAAAGTGGAGAGATGGATGTATCATTAGGTACTCTGCAGGTATTTTTAAGGCCGAGGGGACAAAAGACAAGACCCAGCCTGAGTCTTCAAGTTACTACAAAAGGAGCAACAGAATTACTATAAACTGTATAATTTCTTTTCTGTGACGGTTTTCAGGCCACTGATAGCAAACAAATCCCATCTCATCAGCTGAGACTGATACAAAAGACTAGAAGCAGACTTCAGAGATCCAAGCTCAAAAACATGAGGAGGCCTCAGAAATCATAAGATCTACAATTCTATTATTTTCAAGGGTCTTGAAATTTTCCTTCTCTCAGCTGACAGCATAAGCCTTTGAATGAGCCAAGAGTCATGCTCTCAAGCTTTTCTCAGCAATCACAAATACATTTTTTTAAAAGAGAAATTTTTAAACAGTTCAGCAAACTGCCTAACCTTGCTTCAAATAAATAAACTGAAGCCTGTGCATACATATAAGCTCTCATTTTCTCATCCAGTATACAGAGATTAATAACGAATAACTTCAAGCCACTGGAAGAATCCCTGTATTTGCAAAGTGATTTCACAACTCCAGCACTTCTCACTACTGGAGTAAATGTTCAGTTAAGACATGAAGATCCCTCTCATTACCTATGTGGTCATTATATGTGATGATATGAATTATGCAATTGCAGCTGTACCTGTAAAGTAGCTGTATAGCATTATTACCATTCAGATAATCATAGGAAGAGATTCAAGGACATTAGTACTAATTAGTACTGTCTTCAGAGGAAGATCCTACATATATCTACTCCTATACAGATCCTATACTACATCATTTAATATGCCAGTAATTTGGAGCTCACAGCAGTGAGAAAAACCCATTCAAATAAAGAAACTAGCCTTACTAGATCCTTGACACTTTATTTCATTTCCCAGTTCCTTTCCCCACCCCCCTTTTCACTGAGTCTGTGCTTCTTAATTCAAAAATTAATATTTAAGGCCAGTTTACATGTCCAGAACAAGAAGGAGGTCCTGTCATCTGGACAGCCCGGGACCTCCATACACACTACCCATGCTTGCTTGCATGTGGTATTTTCTGGGCAGCAATGTATAAACAAGTTGTGGAGGGCTTTCCTCCCTCCACCAAGAAGGTCACTGTATACAACCTCACCACTTGAAAATATGTGTGACCTGGGCCTAGCCTATATCACCATTCCTAATGAATGCAGAACTATTCTGCATCTCCCTTCCCTCCCACCCTAGCTGTATTGCTCCTCAATTTCTTCAAAGTTCTCCTTTCACTCCCCACTGGTTGTTCTCCACATCCCACTGGTTACATTCAAACATGGTCAACAAAGAATACTTCTTACGATGGCAGGGCATCTTTAATCTTCATGTGAGAGATATCATTGTAGAGTGCAATCGAAACAACCTCATCCATGGGGCAAATGAGCCCGTACTCTTCACAGCCATTCTCAATTACCAGAGGGTCTGATTTGTGAGGATCAAACATGATGGTGTTGGGAGTGACTATCATGACCCCTCCTACCACACCCTTAAAATAAAAATAAATGAATTAGCACATCAGATTTCCAAGACATGTTGTCCCTTATGTTCCCTCTCCCAAATTCTTTATACACCCCTCATTGTCGTTCCCCCACCCCGCCCTTGCAATCATGTTTTCTACCAAAGTGCTCACTCTGAACAGACAACGGGTCAATACCCTACTGATACCAAGCAGTGATAAGGACTCCAAGTGCTCAAAACACATCTATCTTCAGCAGACAAGGCCAGGGTTATAAAAGGGGATCAAGGTATTTAAATTTTATCCTTAGCTGCAATGAAATGGGAGCGACAGCTTGTTAATTAACTAGAGTCAAAATATTAGAATTCACGAGTCAAGCAAAAACCATTCTTGGCTGCTTCCATGACACCTATCAAAGCTAGCAGGCCTCCTTTCTCATGTTAGCATGACTTCATTTCTTATGCTGATAATTCCCAACAGGAGACTTGGATGGCTATAGCACATTGAAGGCAAAAGGGCAAATGGCTCTGCCTTAGAGCTTAGGTACATGTAATAGGCATACTCATGAAATAAAAGATTTGGAATACTGAAGGAGGAAGGGGGTGAATTTGCAGCAGGCACACAATTGATAGAAAGACAGTGTAGTACTCCTTCCCTTCCTATGAGGCTTCTCTGTTCCAAATTACCTCCTCTTGCAGCTGCTGTCACCTAGTAAAAGCTGCTGCTAGACCCTAGCTATGTTTCTATGTGCATAACGTGTAGTTTGCTATTGAATCTTATGTGCCCAGAACCCAAGGCACACACACAGGAACCATCTACAAAACAGCCCATTTTAGACTGTGATCAGCCTACTTAGTAAAGCTAATTTTCAAATGCAAATAGATTTGTAGACAATAGAGATTAACAGTTCCAACATCTGCACACCTTATGAAAATTGTTATTTGCCTATCACACACACACACACACACACATACACACACCCCTGTTGCAAAATAAATCACCAAAGCCTTCTACCTTGCCATCTGTGAAGTATCGACAGTTCATTTTCAAAAACTTGACCACAACTGGCTCATCTTCCTCTGATGTGGAAGACAGGACTCTTTGGATTGGCCTGCAAACCCTTCTTGCTAAGTCAGCATCCTTGAATGAGAAAGGTTTTTTAAAAAATAAAAAACCAGCAGACATTTGTGTGCCACAGTTCCTTGTGCAGGTGAGCGAGGCCCCACCACAAATTTCCCATTGTTTGCTTGTTTCTAGCGGCATGAAGAAAATCAGCCGTTCAAGCAGAGAGCCACGGCAAGCCAACAATGGAATATGTGGTCAATAGCCATGGAACTACTATCAAGTGACCCTTATGACATGCAAAGTGTTCCCATGTCTATTGCAAATATGATAAGCAATTTTACACTTTTTAAGGAAATCAAGAGGCGTAATATCAAAAGATAGTTTATACGCTTAACTGACTAGTCAGTACTTTCTAAACAACAGAGTCTGTATAATGTCTTACTGGAAAAGTAACACAAAAAATCTTGTGCAACCTTAAACTCTAACTAATTTATTGTGGCATGAGTTTTTGTGGACCAGAGCCCACTCCCTGAAAGGCTATGCCAGAAAAAAAAAGTATTAAGATGCTTCTTGGCTAAAACTGACTCTAGCATGAAAGTCTTACCGGAAGTTTATCATACTCTGCATCTGATGAGGATGGTGAAACAGTAGCGCCAGGGCTTGAAGAAGCTAGTTTCGCAGCAGCAGAAAGAGGCTCACTATCTGGCACATACAGAACCTAGGCCAACCCCCCACAAAAGAAACAAGATTATCACAACAACATACACTGTGAAGACAACCGTTTTAAAGAGCATTATTTTAAAGCACCAAGCTATCTATCTATCTATCTATCTATCTATCTATCTATCTATACACACACACAACTATTAGCTTCTTGAATTTTGTCCCTCTCTCATTGCAGGATAGTGACAATCCTGACTTTCATTCCTGACTTAACACAACCAACTAGTGAAGTGATTATGCACCTATAAATGTGTTTCAAATCACCATAATTTTTATATATATATAACAATATTTACAGTGCAATCCTATGCATACCCTCTCAGAAGTAAACACTGTTAATTCAATGCAGTTTACTCCCAAGTAAAGGGGTATAGGATTGCAGCCTTAAGCACATATAACTGGTACAGGATTTCAGCCCAGTGCAGAAGTCATCACAGGTCTGCCTGCACAGATACATGCAAAGGGTCCCAGGTTCAGTTTCAGGCATCCCCAGATGTGTCTGGGAAACACTCTTACCTGAAACCACAGACAACTGCTTCCAAGCAGTATAGGAAATGCTCTGCTAGTTGGACATATGATCTGAGCATATAAAGTCGTGTTCTTATAAAACTAGTGTTATTTTGCATGCAGACCGCAGGGAGGGGCTGTGCCACTCACCTGAATTCTCACTGCCTGCATAACGGCTGCATACCAGGAGGCAGCAGCAAGGTTGGTGTGGTGCAAACTCACCAGCAGGTGCAACAGATTGGCTCCACCAGCGTGTCTGCACTGTGTCAACTTTATTGCTGCGTCACCCCTTCCTTTATTGCTGCGTCACTTTATGCAGCAGCAGCAGCACAGCTCCACCATGCCATCCACCACTGTGCCCGGTGCATGTGTCTCTGAAGCCACTGCATGCCTACGATCACTTACGAGGGCATGGTGTCATTTCCATTGTTCTAGTTATTTCAAAATGATACTAGAAGAGCCTTCTTTAACTAGTACAGATCACATCTTTTAGAAAATTGGATTTAATCACAACCCGGTTACCTGGCCCGGAACAATTGTGTGTGTGAAGAGCCTGTTGAGTTCCACAAGTTTATTTGGAGTGATGTTAAACTTCAGAGCTATGCTGTTCAGAGTATCTTGGCTTCCAGCCTGAGGGAGGGAAGATAGAAAGATTAAAATGTTATTGCACTGTCCTCGATCATGCCTATTTAAAAACAACAAATGTAAAACCTAATTTTAAGAAGACCATTTCCTCGATGCAGGGGGAAATAACCAAAGTATGTATCACTTCAAAAACCACCACACATTTCTAAGTAGGCTCTAGTCACAAAACACCGTAGATTCTGGTGCACAAAAGCTTCTGCTGTAATAAATTATTAGCCTTTAAAATGCAATGGGATGTGCACTTATTTTTTGCTGCAAGAATTACTGACGGTAGAGGAATGGCAGACAAAGATGATGGACTATGCAGAATTAGCAAAGCTGATGGGGAAAATCCAAAAGCAGACTGAACAAGCATTCCAGAGAGAGTGGAGTAAATTTATTCAATATATAGACAATCACTGTACACACAAAGACGCTAGGCGGACTGCGTTAAATCTTGCTATGTTTATTAAGAGGAACTTTTCTACAAAAATGCTTAAAAACTAATATAATATTTTTAAAAATGTAGAATTGTGATGATATCAGTGTGTGGAAATATGAGGTAGTTATATAAAAACCAGATGACGAGATGGAGGGAAGTCGATTAGCTCAGTGGAGCTTGAAATTTGTAAAAGGAAATAAGATGTTATATCAATGTTAAAAATGGAAAATCAATAAAAAATATTAGTTAAAAAATACAGTTACTTTTTGCTGCAACTGATTAACATGGCAATGCCTCTGGAAATGTAATTTGGCAGAATGTGTGCAACACTACAGAATAAAGTGGATTTATTAGCTACAAATTACCCAGTCTCTCTTACATGAGAATGTTCATGGCTTAAAGTAGATTCAAAGTTGTTGTTAATCTAACTCCCACTCAAACCCAGAGCCCTAACTTTTCTTGTATGCATTCTCTGGTGCTTGCATTTGACCTCTGGGAGCAGCCAAGATCAATCAAGCCTGCTAACACATAAAAGTATCTTATCTTTGCAATACACGTGAGGGCTTGTGGAAAATACTCCCATCTTTTGAATCTGGACTGGAGGGAGCATTTAATTGAAGGAACCTAAGTGAAAACAAACACTCATATACAACAGATCAATAGGATTGGCCCACTTGGGTCTCTGTTTATAGCTAGTTAAGTCAATCCTTTATCGGCTTTGCAAGATAAGAGGAAGTTGTATCCAGAGCAAACTTGTTTTCTAACCATTGTACATAATCCACTGAACCAAAGCATGTGTACTAGAGCTTGAGCATGTAACAGCGTCTTGTACTTTTCACCCCATTCCTTCTTCTTGCTAATCTATTAATTTAGAAGCTTCTTTAGAACAGACCCTGGAGCTTTGTGGACAATGAAAACATCAATTCTAGGTGCAGTGGTGATTTTTTATAAAAAGACAGATCTGATTGCTAGAGATCAGAAAGGCTCCGACAGCCACCATACAGTCATACAGTCAAGGCTAGACCTACCCCACAAGGAGGCCAGTAGGCACAATTCCCACCTTCCCTACACTCCGTGAGTCTGCAGCCAAGATTATATGTGTAGAAATCCTTGACATGAAGGGAGATTCTCAGAGGCCAAGTACTCATGCAGAAGGACGGTACACACACAGAACCGCTTTGAGCATGTGATGAATGTGCAGGCAGATGGGTGTGCCACCATCAAGAACACGGGATGTTGATTAGCCGGAATAGTTCCACAACACCTTCACAGGTTCCTTTAACATGTTTGGGGTGAGGACTGTCAGAACTCTTCTATCATTAGGAAAGAGACTGAAAATAAAACCAGCCAGGATCCTAACAAATGTATACGGAAGTCATATTTGAATTACTGTGTTCAGTTCTGGCCATCACAGCTTAAAAAAAGAAAAGAAAAAGAAAAGGCAAGCATGGAAAATGGCAACCGAAAAAGATCAAGACTAAAATGAAGCATATGGAAATAAAAAAATTCCTTCCAGTAGCACCTTAAAGACCAACTAAGTTAGTTCTTGGTATGAGTTAGTTCTTGGTATGAGCTTTCGTGTGCATGCACACTTCTTCAGATACACAGAAGAAGTGTGCATGCACACGAAAAGCATGCACACGAAAGCTCATACCAAGAACTAACTTAGTTGGTCTTTAAGGTGCTACTGGAAGGAATTTTTTTGTTTTGACTATGGCAGACCAACACAGCTACCTATCTGCATATGGAAATAGTTTAGCATGACGCACAAACCAGGTCGTTTCTCCTCCACTAGTCCACTTGGTAGAAGGAATCCCTCCCCCCTTTTCTTTTTTTTACTGGACTGCAAAGGGAAAGGATTCCATACTGGGCACAGATAAGGGACTTCCCCCTCTTCCAAAGGCAACATGGAAACTACTTGAAGCAGGGTAGGGAAAAAAATGTTTGCAGGCTAGGAACTTTTTGCAAGGCTATTGGGGGGGGGTCACACAGATAAACTGACTGGCAATAAATTCAAGGCAGGAAAAAAATACTCCTGCATGATTAAGTTATTAAGGCTGCAACCCCAGATACAATTATCTGGGAGTAACCCATATTGTACTTAATGCAGCTTACTTCTGAGTAGACACACACTGTATTGCACTGTGAATCTGCTGTCGTACGATTTGTTGATAGCTATGGTTCATGATAGCTAAAAGGAACCTCCAGGATTCAGAAATAGCATACCAATTACCAGAGAAGGGAGGGGAGGCTGTTGAGTTCAAGATACGCATTATTACTACTACTACTACTTTTATTATTTACTATGTATGTGAATCAGATACAGGATATATTAAAAGTTATTTATACTGTGCAGCATCTGTGCAGCAGTGTCTGGGCAGAAATCGGTAAAATGTCCAAACTCTGCCAAAAAAAGCTCAACAACTTTTCTGTCTGGATTTTCACTGTTTGAAATATGGCAACCCTACTATAATTTTCCCCTTCTCCCGAAGAAGAGAAGTAACTTCACTCTAAGATGCAGCACACAACAGCAGCTTTCAAAGGCCAAAGTATGTAGGGCAACTGCATTATTATGAGTGGGGAAACTGACGCTAGGCTACAGATTCTGCTTTAAGGATATTTATGAAACTTATTTCCCTGTATTTATATACCTATTGTACAGATTTAGTGAGATTTCCATGAGCCAATCAGGAACGTTTGGACAGAACAAGCAACTTTATGAAAATTGGGTTTCTGGTTCACATCTAGGAAAAGACATATGCCATGTTATAAGTGACACAGTCCTCTATTTCAGGGGTCACCCAACTTTCTGGACCAGTGAGCACACCGGGAATTCTGAGACTGTGCATGGGGTGCCCCAGCTTTGCTCTTATTATTGCAAAACTACTATTGCATATCACTTTGAATTTTAATATATGTGCTGCCGAAGCCAGCACTATTGCATATCACTTTGAAATGACATAGTGCCTGCCGTTGCTTGCATGCTCAGTGAGGTGGGTAGCTGCAGCAGCGAGGACAACCCTGTGTTGGGCAGGTGGCTTCAGGGATTGGCACTGGGACTGGGCCCCCTACTTGGGCATGGGCCTTGGAAGATGCCCAGTGATTCTAACCCCTGCTGCTGGGCCTGGATCCATCGCCTGCCCTACTGCTTGATTTGAGAGGCACTCACATTTTGTTCTTGAGAACAGTTACTTGAAATGTGGTTATGTTTAAGAGGGGGTACTCAGTATAGGTAAGACTGAGCTAGTGCATGCAGGAACCAGGCCGGAAGAGGAAACAACCTCTTGTATATTGTGGATATTTAGTGAGACCTTTAGTGGATAGATACCATTGGTGGTACTAGTGGAGACACAGGTGGCTCCTGCCCGGTTATACTCAGGAAAAGGATCACTTCCTCTTGTGAATAGGATAAAAACAACAAATTAGGATGTAGAGGAATTGCATAGCATGGGGAAATAGAATGGGCATACCACTTCCAAAAATATTCATGCAATAGATTCTGAGCAGCTACTCTTACCGTATATTCTATTGTACCATGTGGCTTCTGAGAGACCATTTTCTTTTCTTTCTTCTCATTGGTTTTGGTTTGATTGTCCTCTGAAAGAGAAACCCCAAGACCGATTACCTAAAATGTGAACAACTTTCAAATCACTAATTGGTAAACATAAGCAAAATAATATTCAACCAGGTTTGTCTCGGCCAAACATGAAAACTGGTGATTAACGAATCATAAATAATAATTTTATTATTTATACCACACCCATCTGGATGGCTTACAACATATATAAAAACATTATAAAACCTCAAATATTAAAAACTTTTTGATACAGGGCTGCTGTCACAGAAAAGCTATTATTGACAATATTTTTAACAGTGATGCTTGAGTGTTGCATTAAGTAAGGGAAGTATCATTCATCTTTTATTGGTAGGCTGGTAGCCACAAGTGAGTTATGCCCTAAGCTAAGGTGGGTCACCAACATTTTCTTATCTGTTTGTGTTTTTAGCAAGGAGAAAGAGGAAGAAAAACAAGCATGCTGTATATGGTAAAGAATTAAAAGTGGGTCAACGGTTGCAAGTTGAGGCTAAATGTGGGTGTTACGTCAGGAAAAGTTGAAATACACTGTGACAAATGTTAACGGCAAAAAACCCCGCCACTATCTACCTGAGGTGTACACAGCGTGCCTAAGGGCCTGGACAAAGCTGAGATCATGACAGGACAAATCACTCAGGCATTTGCAGTATCAACAAGAATTGTGCGTTCTGCTGATGTCACAACTGCCTATGTGCGCTCTTTCCAGTCATCCAAGATTTTTATGGTCTTGGTTGGGGCTCCTGGGTTCAGCAGGACTCTGCAGAAGACCTTGTATGGGCATTAGTCTTTTGCAAGATCAGAAAACAAAACTTATTTCGAAAGGATATCCTTTGTGTTCTGCTAGATGCTTTTGTTGAGGACACACATAAGCGGTTACCGGTAATTGTACAATACTGAAGCTTGAAACGGTCAGGCCATATTCACACATAAGCAGTAAAGGTACCTCTGCTGCTAACAGAACTAAAACATTCTAACATTGCCCGCATTAAACAAAGTTGTACATCAGAATAGCCTTATTCTTATTTTTATTTCTAGAACCACCCTTCAGCTGATGATTGCGGGGCAGCACGGCAATACACAAAATCTTCCATTAAAAGAAACACAAATGAAACCAAATGCAGCCTTGAAACATCATAAAATATATTAATATCACCTCCAAAGTTCTAAGTGTCAGATAGACCCTTGCTATCTCTGCTTCTTCCAAATGCTAAATGACTGAACCAGTGCATCTTTGGATAGGAGGCAAAAAGAAAATATTGAGGGGGTCAGGAAAACAAAATGGGGAATGATGGGTCCATCTAGCCTACAACTCCTCTGAATGGCAGCAGCTTTTGAGGGTCTTCTTGGGCCTTTTCTGCACATCCAGCATCTCTTTAACTAGAGATGCCAAGGATTGAACACACAAAACTATGGCTGCTTCTCCCACTTTGAATATCCCACACAGGAATCTGGTATATCTGCTACGAGAACCTACCTAACGGCCAAACAAATTATTTTTAAAAATGTCTATCCCGGGATAAACATTATGAAGGGTAGTATATAAATGTCTTAAGCAAAGAAGCAAGCATTTCTTTGAAGCTTCTTTCTTTCTTTTTAACCAACACCAGCCTCTGAGGTTAGAAATTTCAGTTGAAAAGGAGCAGATAAAGGGGGGCAGGCAGGAAGAAAGCAGCTGTTTAACTCTTTCTCTTCCAACCATTTTGAAGCTCAGATTCTTCCTGCCCAACTTGCTTTTTATTTTGTAGAGGGGAAATACAGGGCTGTATAGTTTCTTCCTTAGTGGAAACAAACAAACAAACAAACCAGCATGAGATGGGAGATTTGAAGTGAAAAACCTGCTAGAAGGGAAAGGTATGAGGCCAATTTATCTTTCTTTCTCCACGGACACACACCTCCAACTAAAATCAACTTCAGAGTCAATTTTTTCATATATTTTTTTATAAAGAAAACATCATAGAGAAGATACATGTGTCTGGGTTTAATGTGCAATCCATCAGAATTACTATATGAATTTTTAACAATAAAGCACTGAGGTCCCATTTTCTTCAATAAGAGTTGCTTCAGCATTATATTTACCATGGGAGTTGAGACTCAAGCTAGCTGCCCAATGATGGTTGCTTAATGTCTTAAAACACTTAAAAAAATAAATAAACGTTAAATGTACATTTCTAGGTGATTGTCATTATCACATGTGCACACATAGTAGCGGATATGTCATGTTTTCAGTGGGAGAGCTGTAGATGTAAAAAGCTGTAATGAAAAATATGGTTAGGTATCCTCAGATAGCTCTGAAAGCCCATTCGCCTTGTCTAGTTTCCCAAGATCTATTCTCCCTGAGCCCCACTCCTCCTCCATGTGTGATAACCATCAGCAGACAGGAATCAGTGGTTTGCATACCTAACAACAGGTAAGGCTGCCTGTAATCCACACACCAGGAAAAATGCTTTGGGGCTGAAAAGCTGTGCATAACCTTTAGGAATTTTTTTCTTGCCTTCTCACTGTGATCAATAGCCACAGCTTCTGGCAGAGACTCACAGCTGTCCCCGGTTGCAGAACTGTAGCCTGAAGATGGGAAGCCCTCCTCCCATTCCACGTTGATTATTCTCCCTGGGAGTTTACAGGCGGCAGCGACAGCAGCAGCAGCAGCTTGGCAGGCCTTCCTGGGCACTTCCGGCAAACAGCTCTTGCAGAATCCTCCTGGATGGTGGGCACAGCAACACTCGACCGCAAACATCTTCAAGCGCAGGAATGCCAACAAGTAACCTAAATCATGTGTCCAAAAGTCCTGAGTTTCCCCTTTTACAACTTTCTTTTTTTAAAAAAAGAGCAAGGGAAAGGTTCTTTGCCACGCCTCTGCTAAAGCAGCCTCGCTGGACTTGAAAGCAAGCAAGGCTGACAGAGAACGGAAAATAAGCCACAGCAAAATCACTCAGAATACAAATTGGCCAATTACCCCCCACTCAGAGAAAATTAGAATCGAATAGTGCCATTACTTGTGTGTGTTTGCTCGTGTGCGTACACACACACACACACTCAAACACACAAAATCCCCATCTTTTTCAAAGCCTCTGCTAAGGAAGTGGCTGAGGAAGGGGCTTGTCCAAGTCTGTGGAATCCAGCTCTGAGGAAAGGGAAGCCGATTAGTGTAATTCTGCATACTCCACCCCTCAGCTGAAATATGAGCACAGTCCCCTTGTAGCAAAGGGAACAGGAGGATCCCAAGGCACAGAGAGGGCACGTAGTGTGCTGAGTTTTCACAAGCAGGGCTTACGCTAATTTTGGTATCTCTCACAACTCGATCGTAATGAGATTTATATAGAAATTTCCACAGCTGGTAACTTTACAAGCGCTTTTGCATTCCCACCGTATGTAATGCAAATGTAAAACATGTACAGAGGACTAGCTAACACATTGGGAAGATGGGCATGGAATGTTGGGGGGTTGTTTAATACAGGGGTGGCAAATCTCCAGTATGGAGGCCTGATCCAGTGCCCTCCCCCACCCAGCAAATTTTCCTGGCCTCTCAATAAGATCCCATCAATTTTGACAGTGGTGGTGAAAATGAAATGAAGTGAAGTGAAGCAGGCACAGCACTGGCTGTTGCTGGGTGGTGTCGAATGCTCTGTTGAGGATGCAAATCACCCCCTCCCCAGAAATCTTAACAATCATCTGATGAATGTAGAGGTAAAAATATCCTCTCTAACTTGATCTGCAAGGATCAGCTGAGTAAGGTGTATGTGTGGGGTCACATCCACCACTGTCTCTTTGGCCAAAAAAGTCTAGCCCCACCCCCCACCCCTGGTTTAGTGTTATGAAGATAAGTCACAGTGAGTCTCAGACTCACACACTTTTCCTTTCTCCTCCTCCAGGATGGTCATGACATTACAGTGGTACCCCGGGGTGCAAATGGCATCCGTTCCGGAGCCCCATTCGCATCCTGAATGGAACGTAAGGTGCAATGGCGCTTCTGCGCGTGGGCGGGTCACGTTTTGCCACTTCCGCGCATGTGCGTGACGTCATTTTGAGCGCCTGCGCGAGCGGCGAAACCCGGAAGTAATGCACTCCGTTACTTCCAGGTTGCCACGGAGCACAACCCAAAAGCACTCAACCTGAAGCACATTCAACCTGAGGTATGACTGTATCTTTATATTCATACACAATATATAACAAGTTAGACCAATAGTCCATCAAATCCAGAACTCTCTTCATTGCCCTGGTGAGCACTAGCTCTTCAGGATTCTCAGGCAAAAATCATCACAAGATCTATCAATTGAGATGTTTTGGGACTGAATCATGACCTCATACCATCAAAACTTTGGGCTCCACCACAGAACTACAGCTCCTCCTAAGCATCAGTTACTAGCTTTTTGACTTTTACATACAATCTAACATATTTGTTAACAAATATTGAAAAGACAAGTGTTATTTATTCGGATAGTCAGGAAATGTATTTACAACTCGGAAATAGGTTGAAAATTTTGATCTCATGCCAAAAAACAACGCAGCCCCAATCACCACAGGGATGACTAGAGGGGGAAAGATTTGAATGCCACTACAATGCTAGCTTTGAATTTATTTGTTTTTACTTGTTAGAGCAGCAGGTTTGTGGTTACTGATTTACAATGTTACGCCTTTAAACTTTGCCCCTTTGGTGGAAAGAACCGTGTGAGGAAACAAGGCAATAGCTTGTAAAGATGACATTGAAGGAAGCTACAACATAATTGTTAACTAGAAAAGCTGAATCCAACTTAGGTTTTTGGTTTGCCAGCCCAGCCATTTGAGGTTCTAAAATGGACCATCATAAAAAATAATAGCAAAGGAATAAACCCACCAGTGTGTACTCAGAAGATGGCCGCAAATCAGACATTTCAGCCAAGTTCAAATCGTAGTGCACTTGTTCTGTACCCAGTGTTTGAAGCTATTGGTTCCTAATGAGAAGCAATATCACCAGACCTTCTGTATCCAGCTACGTCACTGGCAATTGGAGCAACTCCCGTAAACACAACAGAACTGTCTCCTCCCACTGCACATGGCCCAAATCTGCTTCAGGGAGCAAATTTCAGGTTGCAGGGCACAATAGGAATATTACGTTTTAAAACCTGGCATCATACTACCATTTGATGGAAGCCTTAACTCTTACCAGGTATGTCTGTAACTCTACATAGATGTGTAGGTAAAAGTAAACACACACTGTTTTTCACATACTTTCCCCCATCCCAAATACAGCCTTCAGTCCTGTATTACCTAGTGCCCCAGTGGACCTCCCAACTCTGAGAAGCATATTTGGGGCAACCATAGCCACAGCAGTGCATAATGGAGAATTGAGAAAAATGTGGTGTTGGCACCACCTTGTGAAAACAGAAACGCTTTCTGCTTGCATAAAGCCACTACAGGATGCAACGCAGAGACTGATTAAAACTCGTATCAACCAGCACCAAATCTGGAGCAGGGACAAACAACATTGCGCCCATCAAATGTTATGGACTATAGCTCCCCAGGTTGGGAGGAATGGGAGTTGCAAATCAAAATTTCTGGAGGGCAGCACATTAGCTACCCCTGCTCTGGGGTATCAATATCAAACAATATTTGGTTTTTTTCCTATTTCAACAGGTATTTTATGTTGCTTTAGTTGCAAAAACGAAACAGGTGATTTTGTAAAAATGCACACACAGAGATCTATTATTTCTCTGATGCTCCAGTTCAAATTTAAAGTGGCATCAGAACCTTCATTATCAGACTGCTGGAGAAAGGTACAACCATGGGATCTCTAGCAATGGAAGAAGCTAATGGTCCCTTTTCAAGGTTGCTAAGAAGGCTGAAATCGCACTGTTGCCATGCAAATGCTAAACAGATTCATTATGCTAGCAAAATGTTTTATGGCTCTCCTAGATAGCTGTCTTACAAGCTCCACTCTAGTTATTTGGAATCTTTCCCAACTTCACAGGCAGACATTATCCTTGTAGTGTCCTGCCAAGTGATGGAGTCATTTTTGCAGATTCTGTTTACTCTTTAGACGGTTAATGGGCCATCATAAAAGTTACTTGGGCTGGGCAACACATGCTGTTCTTCATATTCTTCCCAACAAGGAAAAGCTAGAGCAGTGGGGCATTTTTACCTGGGGGGGGGGAATAATAAACTGTATAATGAAGATTGAGACAGATACTTGCTACTCAAGAGTCTTTCACTAAAACTGATTAGCAGTACATTGGGGATAGACAAAAGTAAGTGCTTTTTCACAGAATGCACAGTTAAATCATGGAATTCACAGCTGTGGGATTTGGCGATTGCTATCGCCAGTGTGGTGTAGTGGTTAAGAGCGGTAGTCTGCTAATCTGGGGAACCGGGTTCGCGTCTCCGCTCCTCCACTTGCAGCTGCTGGGTGACCTTGGGCCAGTCACGCTTCCTTGAAGTCTCTCAGCCTCACTCACCTCACAGAGTGTTTGTTGTGGGAGAGGAAGGGAAAGGAGAATGTTAGCCGCTTTGAGACTCCTTAAAGGGAGTGAAAGGCGGGATATCAAATCCAAACTCTTCTTCTTCTTCTTCTAAATGCTTCAGAGAGAAATTAGACAAGATTATGGTCCGCCAATGGTTAATTCGTCATGGTGGCTATAGGATCGTACATGATCAGAGACAATATAGAACTGAATACAACTGGTTAAAGAGGCAACAGCAGAAGAAATGACTGTTTACTTAGTGATCTTCCCAGGGTATCTGGTTGACCATTGTAGGAAGAAGGATAAGATATGATCTTAGTGGGATTATTATTATGTTCTTAAGTCTTAAAAGACGTGTGTGTGTGTGTGTGTGTGTGTGTGTGCACATTCAAAAACCTCCACACTGCTAACTCTTTCAACAGTGTTATATTTCACTTGGTTAAAAGATACTTTATACTAAAAATAGAATGTTTTCAACAAAATGAAAAATTGCTAAGAAGCAGAGAGATTAGGTGAATTCCTTGTGGCTAGGAATCCTTTCAAACAGTTACACTCATCCCACTACGCTTTACCTTCCCCAGTCTAGCTGGATCCAACCTCCACTTACAAGGTGCCAGATTGGAAACAGGTGCCCATTCTGAAGGTAAAAGCCAAACCCATTCATCCACTACATTCAAATACGTAAAAAGATAGTTCATTTTGATGCTAAGAAACTTCTGTCATTTCTAATACATAGAATCTGTGCTTGCAGATGGACTTCGCACACTTAACCAGTCCTGCCAAGATTCAGCAATGTTACAGAATCCAAATGGGAGCTTATAAAACTAAAACGTGTTTATATAGTCCATATTGACTTACAGAAGGTTACTGAAAGTATAGCAGCAATATAATGAGAAGAAAAAACATAACACCACAGATTGTTACACTTTAAAAGTACTTAAAAGATTTCAAAGAGGCAATACAGTATTTGCCTTAAACTCACCAATACTATAGTATCGCTTAAGATCTGTGCGCCTAATATCCTTTGGCTGACTGCTTTTCTTCTTCTTTTTCTCCAAGTCCTCCTTTTCCCCAGACTTTTTGCCGTTTTCTTGAGAGCCATTGGTCTGCACCAGAACAGCTTTACTTCCATCATCTCTTCCAGCCTGAGTTCTACCTGTGGGGATCCCACAAGCATTTGAGGAGGCTGCCTCTGAATTTTGCTTAGCTAGCCTCTTCTTCTTCAAACTAGAAAAAAAGAAACACAATAAAGCAATATAGACAATAAACTAATTTGCAGAAATCTCATTGGCTAACCATTGATCATTATAATTTTATGTACCTTGATCCTGCTAAATTGCAATGATCAGAATAACAATTCTTTATTTATCTAATTTAGCATACCCTCCAATATTTCTCTGATGAAATTCCATAATAATAATTTTACTATTTACACCCCTGTGATTATCTTAGACCTGTACCAGAGCGGTAAAAGGAATAATACATATCACATTTTCAATTTTGTCTACTGCTTCTGCCCCTTGGTGCTGATGTTATTAATGTTATTTCTGTTGTCTGATCTTTGACCGTAATAGAATGACTGATTGATCGATCAATTGAATACATGACATAAATATTCAGTGAAAGTGACAGTGTGACTTTATTAACCTAGATTTCTGCAAACTACTTCTACATTTTACATTGAGTAAATATATATTAGCATATAAATGACGTAAATATACTTAAACTGGTTTTTAGTTGATAAAAATGCACGTGGTGCCTTGTTCCTAAAATAACGAAGGCCTAAAATAATCACAGGCCAAAACACATTGGGCTTTTTCTTTTTACAAATAAAATCCCAATTGTGGCTAAACTTGAGGTTTTATCTCTCTCATTTTTTGAACGTACTTTACATGGCAAAGTAGTCTTCATTTCAGCAGGTTATGTGCTGCTGCAACATGTCATCTTATCACGCTGCTCGGGTAACATCAGGAGTTTGCGTGCAAGTGTGAGGATCTGGCATGTCCTTCCCATGCCAACGTCCCTTGACCAAGAAACTGAGAAACTGCTGGGATAGAAGGAGCAGTGGCAAGGTGACTCCTCCCACGTGAGCTTGGATGTCTGACGTTACTGGAGCAACACGGGACCAGTTTCTGATGGAAGCAAAGCCGGCTCCAGCCCATATGAGCCTAAATAAGGTTCTATGTTAATCCCCATCTCAAACAATACTACACTGATTAATATATTTGGCCAGCATCTATTCATTATGTCAACGTCTAAACTTATAATTTCACAGTCAGCTGCCCAGGCTTTATTATTAGCTTTGTTTTCACATAAACATGTCATTCATTCAAGGTTATCTAAATCAGTGCCCTCTAATACATGTTTGTTCTGAGGCTCTTATAAACATCTACAAAAAAGAGAGATCTGAACGACTCCATTGATGTATGAAGAATAACCTTTTCTTTCAAAAGTGAGATCTAATATTTCCCCCTATTTCTGTACTACATCTTCATTAATTATGTTATTGTTTTTAATTATAGTGGTAAGTCACCTTGAGCCAAAGAGAAAGTAGGAAACGGAAGGGCTGAAGTGGAATGGCACAGTACATGCTTTGAATGCCCAAAGGACCCAGGTTCAACCCCAAGTATCTCTAGAAAGGGCTGAAAAAGGGTCCTGTTTTGAGTTTCTGGATAGCTACTCTGCTGGTCAGTGTCGTAACTATATTGGGTAGAGGAAGGGAAGAAGAAATTTGGAGACTCAAGTCAAGCCAGCAATGAGTAGAGCCAACTAATTCTACTTTCGTAGAAATGTAGAGCTGGAAGGGACCCAAAGGTATATATGCTTCTGTAATGGCCTATCACCAGGGAAAGAGGCTAAGGATGCGGAGTGAAACTGCTCTCTGGGGCAGCCGCAGAGATGACACTACTAACTACTATCAGCACAAGAGGAGCCTAGTGTGCTGGGACCTCTACAATCCAAGAATGCTGCCTTGCCCCTCCATCCGTGCACAAGACAGAGGTTTCAGTAGGCTTCGTGGAACCCCAAGTTTAGAAGCACACAAAAACTTTGCAAAAACGTTGGGGCCCTCAGAGTAACCGAGTAAGAGCTGTCCATGGTCCTGCAACTTCTGACCAGACCCCTCTTGCCGCTTTCTGCGTGGGATCCAGCATCAGACCTGGACACAACATATGGTACAACTTTGGGAATACAGACATACCTTCAGGAACCCTGCCATTACAAGGCACTGTCAGGAGCTAGCAGTCCTTAACAGGATAAAGAATCGAGGCAACCTACTCCAACTGCAGCTCAGGAGTACAACATCTGCTATCCATGCAGATGGTCTCAGGCTCAATCCTTGTCATCTCCACATAGGGCTGGGTAAGAGCCCTGTCTGAAGAGATGGAGAGCCACTGCCAGGAATTGCTGAGCTAGACGAATGTATGTCTGACTCAGTTTAAGGTAGGCTCCTATGCTCCAAATATGTGTAACTCCTTCTTAGGTTATTCAACCTGGTGACAACAGAACGTTGTAAAGTGGTTTTTACTTTGCAAAAAGTGCAAAAACTAGCCCCCAAATATGCCAGGTGTTCTATAAAATTTATTAGGAAGTAAGCCTGAAGGGGAGAAAAGAGTTTTATAGTATACAACTAAGAGGAACTACCTTGCTATTCTCATCCATAATTGCCCACTGAAGTCCCTTGTCCCAAAATAGGGCACCTTGCAGAATGAAAACAGGTAAGTCAAACCTGTTCCATTCACACAAAAAAGGAACAAATGTTTTTAAACCATATGCTTAGCATCCTGCTTTTGAAGGCCAGAGCAAGTGGATCCTTGCTATGCAACGTTTTCAAAATGTTTTTTTCTTTCCCTTTCATTTTAACACAACATTTCTACCAAGAAACTGGCTTTCCCCTACAAGAGAAAATCAACACTATCAGAGGCTAAAGCTACACAGAAAGAGAGCACAGACAAAACAGACAGGGTTTCCCTCCCATTTATGAAACTGTTTATTTCAAGTACCTAGTAGAGATTATCCTGTTATTTGTTTACTGAACTCAAAGGGAGCAATTGGAATAATCATTGTTGTGGTTTAGCTTTTGGGATCTGCCCCACTTTTCCTTACAAAACTCAGAGCAGATTTTTTTTGGGGGGGAGGGAGGTGCTGGGGAGGAAGACGAGAAGTTCCTCTGCACAAGTTGAAGTCCTTGTACTAATGGGACAACTTCACTGGATAGTCTATAGTTTCCAAGTCAGGAGAAGTAATAGTTCCCCTTTACAGTGGTACCTCGGGTTACATATGCTTCAGGTTACAGACTCTGCTAACCCAGAAATAGTATCTCGGGTTAAGAACTTTGCTTCAGGATGAGAACAGAAATCGTGCTCCGGTGGCGGAGCGGCAACAGGAGGCCCCATTAGCTAAAGTGGTACCTTAGGTTAAGAACAGTTTCAGGTTAAGAACGGATCTCCGGAACGAATTAAGTACTTAACCCGAGGTACCACTGTATTTCCCTTTATTCATTCGTAGAACAATTTCCAGTTCTAAATGCCACACTTTAAGAAGGAAATACAAACTGGAACAAGTTCAAAGGAGGGCAATTAAGATGGTCAGGGGTATGAAAATGAAGAAGGAAAGGTTGCAGGAACTGGGCATGCTTAGCCTGGATAAGAGAAGACTGAGGGGGGACTTGACAGCAGTCTTCAAATACCTGAGGGACACAGAAGACGGCAAATAATACTTGTTATCTACTGCCTCTGAACACAGCTAGATCTAAGTTACAGAAGAGCAGAGATTTTGACTGAGCATTAGAAGAAACTTATTGGTGCTAAGAGCAACTTGACAATGGAACCAATAATTCAGTAAGGGTGGGAGGCTCTCCCTTGCTGGAGATCTTCAAGCAGAAGCTGGACTGCTATCTCTTGGTTGTGATCTCTATCTCTGAATATCCTGCAGTGAGCTAGAGTCTGGGTCAATGGCCTACAACACTCCTCCCCCCCCCATGCCAACAGTTCTGAGTAGACACATTGTCCTTGCTTGCTCACTAGACTAGGCCACAGCCTCAGAATCCTTGCCACAGGCTCTTTCGAAACAGATCAATTATCCCACAGTTTTAACCGTGATCTGAAATTTCAACAGGAGGGGGAAAACAAGAGTGTCTGGCAGATAAAACTATTTACAGTATGCAGACATTGTGCTTACAAAACCAATTATTATTTCAGTCTACAGCAAAGGCAAAAAAGAAAACAGGGGAAAGGGAGAGGACACCCAATTATAAGCAAAACTAAAGCACACAGATACCTTGCGGGGGCAACAATAAAAACATTCCAGAGAGAGAAGGGTTCTGTTTGTCTAGAAAAGATACTCTATTTTTAAACAAAAAATGACTCCATATTTTTAAATTAAAAATAAGGTGCATATAATGTCAAAAGATATACTCTCAAACACAAGAAACACATAATAATGCATTTTAGACCCAGAGCAGATCTGTGGGTACATTTTTCACATCAAAATATGTGGTGCGCTTGTACTGACCAACTGGTGACTTTTTCTGAGCCATGCCTAAGGTTGTTACTGGAAATGGTAGGAATCAAAGATTTTGGTTGTGCTTTTGTGTAGGGAAGTGTGCTGTGTTATTGGGCAGCTTTCCATGCACACTTCATATTTTTTTAAAAAACTAAGCTGTTTCGAAACCAAGGTTTCCAAAATAGGAAACAGCTTCCATAAGCAGGGAGCAAAAAATCTGTCATTGCGGCATAAAAATAAGTCTGAAACGATCTTAGAGGGGAAAACCTAATACAACTCACCAGTGGCGTAGCGTGGGTTGGTCAGCACCCGGGGCAAGGCAAATAATTTGCACCCCCTAACCCGTGGATTTGCGCCCCTAACCCTAACCCCCAGATGTTGCGCCCGGTGCAGCTGGCGCCCCTGCACCCCCCACGCTACACCACTGCAACTCACCTACACCTAAACAAAGCACGGGGGGGGGGGGCGGGCGGTGCAGTGAGCCACAGAGAGAAAGGAAATTGCTGCTGATTTGGCCAAGGGGATTGTTTATTCACAAAATGTACTGCACAGCAACTCTCGACTATAAGGGTCTGTTTGGTGGCAGTTCCCAGTTTGTGGAATTTGAAATTATCAGCTGTGGTTAGTTTTAGATGTTTTTATTTTACTTTAATTATATTATTTCAACACTATTGTGTTTGCTACCCTGGACTCCCATGAGAGAAAGGTTAGGATGTAAATTTATTAAATAAAACAAACAAAAACATGGCAAGCCACATTCGGTGCTGGGCATCACCACTTGTTCTGCCTTCACAGGATTACAGGATCGTGACAAGATTAGGCTCACCATGCTGACTGAGCCAATAATAACCAAACCTGCTCAGAGTTGCCACAGAGGAATATTAAGCACTCAACACACCAAAACTGACTGCCTGTTTTTATAAATAAATAAATAAGTAAGTAAGTAAATAAATACATTTTATTTATACGCCGCCCATCCAGCTGGGTTTCCCCAGCCACTCTGGGCGGCTCCCAACAGAATATTATTAATAATAACAAAAAGCGATAAAACATCAAACACTAAAAAACTTCCCTAAACAGGGCTGCCTTCAGGTGTCTTCTAAAAGTCAGATAAGTTGTTTATTTCCTTGACATCTGATGGGAGGGTGCCACCACCGAGAAGGCCTCTGCCTGGCTCCCTGTAGCTTCACTTCTCGCAGTGAGGGAACTGCCAGAAGGCCCTCGGAGCTGGACCTCAGTGTCCAGGCTGGAAGTGGAGATGCTAGTTTCACCCTAGTGCCTTGCCTTACTGGAATCATTAGTATTATGGAGCAAGGTGTTGAGAGGGATGGCCTGGGAGAGGATTGGCCAAAGAGGCCTGTAGGAGTGCTTTGGCCCCTAAGTCTGAGTTTGCTTTTATAGAGTGTCTATCACTGGCAACGTGCTAAATATTTCTCTAGGAATATGGTTTCTTCAGAATGAGTGTTCCCCAATTCACAGCATTTGATCACTTCTGTGGGTATTTCAAAAAATAATAATGGGGGGGGGGAGACAACCCTGGAAATCTTAACAACTTTGCTGCCTTTCAATTCACAAATTATTTCATGACCTTCAAATGCACTTCTTTTTCTTCCAAAAAGGTGTCATAACAGCACGTTTGCACAGTTAAATAATCCTGAAAAGATCTACCGCACTTTAACTACAGTTTACATTCCACCGTGGCAATCTGGTTTTGTTACATCAAGGAGCGTGTTTATAATTCACCTACAATAAACACAGAATGAAGAGCAGAGATGGCACAGAACCACCACAGCAGCTCTTTTTTGCTGATGCTACAGCAGATTTAAAACAAAAACAAAACTGTATGTTTCAAGGAACAAAAACAGATTTCCCCTCCCCTTTCATTTTTCAACCAAGAAAGCTGTATAATTTGATCATAGCAAGTTAAATATACCTATTATTTAAAATGAAGGTCAACTTCCTAACAAAAGACTTTAGGCTTTGGTGGGAAGTAAAATTCAAAAGCCATGGCTCAAGTATAACAAACTTGTGTTAAAGTTAATAAAAATGTTTATTTTTATATACCATGGTAAAAAAAAATAAATGAAATGTTGCCATCCACACGTGCAGCACAATCTTTAGCATATTTACTAAGAAAACTACATTGACTGCAATGTAATTTATTCCCAAGTACCGATGAACTGGATAGTAGCCAGTAAGCTGTAGGTAACTAAGTCTAATTACTAATTTTAATTCCTATATATTTTATTTTAGTAGTCTGCAGAGGTGCATGAAATACCAGTGTTGTTAGTCATTTCTGTTTCAAGTTAATATTCTTCCTTTTATGAACACTGACGTGTGCTGTACTCAGAAACCTTGCTTGCAGCATTAGGGGTCAAGGACTCCCAGGCTTTCAGATGTTGTGGTACTACAAGTCCCATCAGCTCCAGCCAGGGATGATGGGAATAGTAGTCCAGCAACCTCTGGAGGGCCACAGATTCCCCACCCTTGCACTACATTCTTGGTGGAAAAGACTTGTGACTTGCAGCCTGGTTCCACCAGGGTTAAACAGGTTAGACAGGAAGCAGATCCCTAACGTCCAGATTCAACATACAGTAGCAATAAAATAAAAAGATTCAAAGCAGTTTGAAATTAGTTGCACTCTCGGGGCTCTAACTTGTACGTGTCACAGAAGTGTGGATACTCAGAGACAACAAAGAAAAAGAAAGCAAAGCGTAACTCACATAGCAAGTAGAAAAATACCGTCAGAGTATTTGCCCTAGATTAAAACGTTATGACCGACAGAGGGGAAAGTCCACAGTTGCATTTTGAAACAACGGAAAGAGCAGCAAGTAGCTTACCGGGCAAAATAGCCTTGTCTTCGTTCTTTTTTCTCTTCCTTGATCTCCATTGTAAACAAATAGTAAAAAGTGTAAGGTGAAGTGGCTGAGCTTCTGAACTTCCAGTTAGTGTCTCATGTTCACACACGATCCATGCAGTTATCACTGAGGAAGGGGAAAAGAGGAAGCTCAGAAATTAACATGTCGACAACACCTGACTTGCTGCTGCTGCTGCTGCTGCTTTTTTTTTGGAAGACTTACAGTGCATAGTCCCACAGCATGGTAAATTAAACCAGTGAAAGCACTGTCACATGACAAAGCTTATTGTACCAAAAACAAAAGAAAAGAAAAACAATAGTCATGGCTCAATTCACTGCATGGGGAACACAAGGCTCCTTAAAATAGAAACACAAATAGGGAAACATAAGTTGCACATGGGATTTTATGTGTGTGTATATATGTGTCAAATAAAAACAGAAGTCTGACATCAACGTTAATGAACTGCCTTTAAAACCACTTCACAAAGAATTCATTCACCATCTAACTGCAATTATTTTAATGCACTGTGCTGCGGTTCTATCAACAGGTTAAACATCTCTGTCCATATATCCACAAAATACAAGAAACCTGGAAAGAATGAACAACCTGAGTGCTGTTTGTTTTCTTCTGTTGTTTTTTTTTAATGCTCAGAAAGAAACACACACACAAAGACAGAACATTCAAGGCATCTGAACTAAAACAAAACACAAATTTGAGGGGGGTTCACTTGTGATAGAAAATAGATCTGGCAATTTGCATCTTCGTTTCACAGAGTGTGCACCGTTTTCCCACATAGCACTGTTAGTGCAAATAATCTGCAGTATGTCTAAATCACAGAGGTCCATCACACAATCCAAAGGCTGCATTTGGCCCTTGATGCCATTTGCATGGCCCTGGAACCAGCCAAACCAAGGTTGTCCAATACAATCACTACATTGCTTTTTTAAAAAAAAATAAAAACCAGAAAGCATTTTACAATTGAGCCTTCTATTTTTATTGTGGGCCACATAATATATATTTCTTGACTTTCACTTAGAATAGTAGCCAGTATGATTATAACTGTGAATATTCCAATACTCTCCTCAATATTTTTACGCTGTGTATAAAAAGGTAGAAGGTAAAGGACCCCTGGACACTTAACTTCAGTCAAAGGTGACTATGGGGTTGCAGCACTCATCTCGCTTCAGGCTGAGGGAGTTGGCGTTTGTTCACGTACAGCTAAACTGCTTCTGGTGCGATGGAAGCCAGAGCACACGGAAACACCATTTACCTTCCTGCCACACTGGTACCTATTTATCTACTTGCACTGGTGTGCTTTCAAACTGCTAAGTTGGCAGAAGCTGGGACAGAGCAACAGGAGCTTACACCATCGTACAGATTCGAACTGCCAACCTTCTGGTCAGCAAGCCAAAAAGGCTCAGTGGTTTAGACCACAGCACCACCCACTCCCAATTATACTGTGTTTTTAATCATTATACAGTGGTACCTCTGGATGCGAACGGGATATGTTCCGGAGCCCCGTTTGCATCCTGAAGCGAACGCAACCCGTGTCTGAATGTGCGCGGGTCACGAATTACCACTTCCGTGCATGCGCGTGATGTCATTTTGAGTGTCTGCGCATGCGGTGAAACCCAGAAGTAACGCATTCCGTTACTTCCGCGTTGCTGCAGAGCGCAACCCAAAAATGCTCAACCCAAAGCTACTTCAACCCAAGGTATGACTGTAGTGCCTTTATTTTTAGTTGTTTGGAAGATTAATCTGAAAAGTTGGTAAAAAAAAAAAACAATTTAGAAAAATAATACAGTACCATTAGAACTCTCTGTAGAATAAAAATAATGTCCTAAAAGGGCTAACCTCTTCAAAACTGGAGAACTATTCTAATAAACAAAAGCACTAAGTATATCTTCAAAGATTCAGTGAAAGGAAGTCAGATCACTCCCATGTGCTCTAAAGAAAAAGAAACAATAATCAAAGGTGGGAGGAGACAGTTTGGAGAAGGCAATCTCCCTGCAACCATAAATTAAGTTTACCATATCTAGTGTTCCTCTTTTCTTTCCCCACTTCTTTTTTTTTATTTCCTAGTCCGCTCTTTGAAAAGAACCACAAGTAGGAGTCAAAGGGATGACTACCGAACTTTTAAAATAGATACAATAAAATACACATCACTTTCCACAATTGCTGTATTACTACCACTGAAACTAATTGGTCAACATTTACTTCAGAATCAAGAGATAACCAAGAACGGCTTTTGTGCCAAAACAGGCCAGGATTCTCAAGCCTCTTTGCTGTATTCAACCTAGAGACAGCTTTTCCTCAACAGCATACCACTGCTGAATGATCGACAATGTTTCCTGCATACTCTTTAGAACTAATGTGGTTCAGGGTGATCACTATACAGTTTTAAGCAGTGCTTGGCAACGTGCGGCCCAAGAAGCCTGTTTTACCACCCCACGAGCTGCCCCCGAACTGAGCCACCCGCTCAGTGAGTCCCACGTGCGCTGCGCTAAACAAGCGCCACCAAAAATCGCATCTGCGCATGTCCAGACGCTGAAAATTGCTTCTGTGCAGGTGTGATTTTCAGCATCTGGGCACGCACAGAAGCAATTTCCGGAGCCACAGACATGCGCAGACGCGATTTCCGGGGCCATGCTTCACGAGTCCGGCCCACGGACGATCTCCGTAGGAGTGATCCAGCCCATGGCTGGTTAACCTTGCCGACCCCTGGTTTTGAGTATATGTAGATGTTGTAAACAAAAATCTGTTAGTTAACAAGTTGTAGGAACATTTGCCAGAAGCTGTATTCAAACTATTTGTCCTCAGGAAATCCAACACATTGGGCACAAAATATCTGCTCACCAAAGAGGATTCTGGTACTTGGTCCAGCTTTTGGGAAATGTTATCTTCAGCAAAGGTGGCTATCCTGAGGTCCTCTATGTTCCTACACTGGAGCTCCCATCAGTCCTAATGATTACTCATGCTGGCCAGGGCTGATGGGAGTCTAAAACTACTTGGAAGGCCACAGGTTAGCCACACCTGCCTGACACAAACTGAGAGCACACACAAGAATGATCCCGTGTGGATGACCATGGAAAGATCATTAATAGTGGCACAAGGGCATCCTGTCTGCAGGGATGGAGGAAGGGGGGTGCGGTGGGAGCGGATGCCCTGGGAGTCACCACTGAGGGGGTGACAAAATGGCGGGCAGCACTCACCGGGAGTGATGCAGTGGCTTGGGCTCCCGCAGGCTCCACAATGCCCCAAACGGTCCGTCCACAGCCTATCCCTCAGCTGTAGGGCAGCTGAGTGGGAGGAGGCAGGCAGACTCCTTGGAGGCCCCGCAGAGCGTCCTGGCTCAGCTGGCCTGGCCCCTGGGCGCAGGGCATGTGGGCCACCCCAGGTGCCCAATTGGCTTGCTCCGCCGCTGCCTGTCTGCCATTATTGACCTTCTCAACAAGAAGAACCTGAGGAAAACTAAGGCTTCACACACCACAATACAAAAACCATGGATATGGAAAAGTGTGGAAATAAATGGAATGAATAAATATAAATGCTTTTACTAACACAGTTTAACCTTTCAATTCCATTTCTGCAAATTCAATAGCAGGCTGCACTGAATAGCATTAATACACACCATCCACAGTATTTTGCCCAATCAGTTTAGGCATAACATCAGTTTCCAGCTAACAATGCCATCTCACTAGCTTTAATCAGAGTCTGCAATTTAAGAACAACACTACAGTTGTGACAGACTGAAACAGAGGCAGAAACGCTACAACCAGTAGAAATCGGAGTAAGCCACCACTTACTTTGTTGTTTCTTCAGGCAAAATGCAGTCACCACAAATAAGACTGAAAGTTCATGAGAAACTGCCTGCCTAATTAGTGAGCGCAAAGTTAAAATAAAATGGATGTACCATGGGCCAATATATGGAGAGTTCACAAGAAAGCAACCTGAAGAAAAGACAGGGAGAGTGTTGGCCACAGTGACATACTTGAGGTAATTCATCCATGAATTTAAGGGATGCTCTGGGAAACCACAAACAGATTCCTATCTAAGGCGGTCATAGGCAACAAGAGGAATTGTTGAATGCTTCTTTTTACTCGTGACTAAAGAGAATTTCTTGAAGTTTGCCAGCTCAGTGGCTTCTCCAATGGCTTTAACCTCAAAACCAAGCTACAGAGATCAAGAAATCATATCTTCTATTTTCTGCAAGGTGAGTGGGGAAGGAGGAAGCCTTCTTTTGCATATACTACTTTACTTCAATGTGTGCACACATTTCAGGTACATGATCCTTGCCTACTCTCAAGGCTGAATTAAAAGGGAAACAGATAGCTTTAGGTGGGTCGTGGATTCAAATTTAATAGATTATATCAATGTAGAAATCACCATGCTTGCTTCTATTTACCTCACAATTCTATACATATCTAATCAGAAGCAAGTCCCACAGGGTTCAATAGAGCTTACTCCCATGTCAGTGGGTGTAGGATTACTAGCCTTATTTACCTTCTGGTATACAGGATTTCTTTACTATTACTAAAAGTTGCTGTTTGCATGCCAAGGGAAGCTCCCATTAGTACCAACAGAAGCTTCCCTTGAGATGCAAATCACCCTCCACCCTGCCACCATCCATTGCCCACTGCTATTGGTCCTAAAAAGAAAGACAGAAAATAGTGGCAAAATTTTAAATGCCTGGATAAATCAAACCATTTTTGCCTGCTGTCTGTAGGTACCAGATAAGCTTCCATGGGAAGGACATTTCACAAGAGGCCTGCCAAAGTAAAAGGGGGGAAAGTACCATATTGTTGACATCCATGTCACCTCAGAGAAGAAAAGAATGCATTGAAGGTCACTGGCACTTGTATTCTTTCCTCATGAAGCTTGTGAACCATCTTCAAAGGTAGACCCTGCAATTTAACACACTGCAGCAATCTAAGCAGGTTACCATAGAAGGGACAGCCATAGCCCAATTATCCCAGGTCCAGGACCAGCTGCCTTCAACAAATCAGTCATAATTGGTAAATGACACTTGATGCCACAAAACACCACATGGGCTTCTACTGCCAAAGCTGGATGTATAATAACCCTGAAGCTGGTTTTTCAGGGAAAGTGCAACTTCATTAAGAACT